AGACCTCCTCTGGGTGCGGGTTTTTCTCGCTGCGTTAAAGACCCATTGGTAGTCCTGGGCTATTTTCTGCTCTTTTGTCGGGTTTTTGTCTCTTTGACACATTACACGTTTCCATTCCCGAATCTATGTTGAGCTGATTGATTTAACCACTTCTGTTTCCCGAACATTTAAATTTTGTATGGATGTCATAAAGAAAATCCAGGCAACATCTTATGTAAAAATCCGGCAGATCTCTCGACATGCCAACAGCGGTAAAAAAACACGAAAAGGAAAAAAAATGACTGTATTCGTGAAAAGTATCGGATGTGTTGTAAAGAAAATATCACAAGGTCGCAGTTCTTATCCTGCTCGAAATCCCACTTTCACCACCCCGTGGTGAGCCGAGGGGGCAGATGGCAGGAGGAAGGGGATATTTTGTTAATATATCAATAAATCCGATACAAATTACATGACTCATGACTTGTGAAAGAAAAATCTTGGCGCAAATAATAAAAAAAAATTGGCGCAAATAAAAAAAAAGGGCGCAAAACACCGGTTTTGGATACGTAGTGGTCACATACCAATAACTCGTACTATATCAAATTTTTTTTGGTCAGATATGACAGTAAAATGGAAGTGAAATTCATTACTTAACAAATAGGAACGCATGGAAAGTATAAAAAATTTAAACATCGTTCTATCATCTCACTTATTTTTACGTGCTCCAATATTATGTGTTGATTGTTCATTAAGGTTATGTTCCGGGTAATTTTCATAATCCAAAGGGGAATATAAGAAAAATAAAAAACTACTCTTAGACGATAAAAGCAATTATACATCTATGCTATATATCAGAAACGAACATGGATTTTAGTGGGGTTCGTTTTTTTCCAATTTATAGTTTTCTACGTAGTTTTTAGTGGATTTGCTCGTCATTTCGTAGTTTATCGTTTTTGTCATGGCGTTGTCAGTTTTTCTTCGACGGATTAGTTTTGAATGTCCTCTTGGTATCTTCCGCCTGTATTAAAGCTAAAAGATCATAAAAAAAATATATTTCGTGCACAAGGCAAAGCTGAACCAAGTTGAATAAGATAAGTACACTGCTACACATTATATACACCCATAAATGAGAACTGTAATTACAAAGTTAAATGCTTTCCCGGTACTTATATCAATATGTAATGTATTTTTATATACCTTACGTTATGCAACTGATCGGGCCGAGATAACAGGACAAGAACAAATTTGTTCAACCCCGCTGCATGTTCATGTGCCTGTTATGTTGGGACTTTGTGTTGATGTAGATACTTGATAGCCTCTTTTGGTTTAATTTACCTTTTAGACTCAGGTGCGATCTAAAGCTTAACATATAGTAAATTTTAAAATCTATAGTCGAAATTCAATGATGTAAGTTGATTTTAATTGTTTGGGGTTGCTGTCTCATCGAAGTATACAAAAATATTTCCTATTTATATCTTAAAGTCCCTCGAATTCTACTGGCAAACTACAATATAGTCATCATTGCACCTCCAATAATGTCTCAGTACTGGAAACGGACAGGACTACTGTGTTCACGTTTCAATCAGAAAATTGCACCACAAAGTGAAATTTTAATATGGAAGAGCCTATACTTGTTTTGTTTCATTAGTCTTTGATAAACCCAGCAAAAATCAAAACACGTAAGCCTATAGGTATACTATACTTCACATTTATTTACATCATTAACAAAATAAATATAACAAACAAATACATATTTTTTTTAACAAAGTTGAAGCACATATAGTGGTAATGTTGATTTCAAATCATCAAATCCTGTTATGTTGCACTGTCTGTGGTTATACACTGCTGTAGAACTGCTGACTGTAACCTGGAAACATAAACGGTGACATACCACTAATATACGGCGAGAACATAGTGAATGGTGAGTATGACTTCTGATTATTGTAACCACTAGATTCCAATGTTGTAATCATTCGGGAACCTGGTTTACCTACACCAACGAACTGTGACAACTCTGGTGAACAGTTGTAGCTTGTACTCTTGATGTGACGCTTTTCTTTCATTCTTCGATTCTGGAACCACCATTTAATCTTATGTTGACTGAGTTTGAGTTTCTTGGAGAGAACTGGACGATCTTCAATCTGGAGGTATTTGCTGTTACTGTAGTATTGTTCAAGTTCAATCAGTTGTGAGTTTGTGTAGGTAGTTCTGGCTCTCTTCTTTGGTTGATCTAAATTGACTGAGTCGTCGGAGCATGAACCAGGCGAAGTACAATCTCTTGATGTAGAGTCTGTAGAGCTGAAGCTATTGTCATCAGAATGTAATGAGTCGTCTAGGTGTTTCCTCTTGTATTGGGTACGTCGAGCTGAGTTGGTAAGTGAAAGCTTTATATCTGCTGTACCAATCTGGCTGCAGTTTGGCAGATATATTTCGTGAATATGGTTGACAACTGCATCAGTTAAGATGGGATCTGGAACCCTGCTACTCTTTGACAGTTCTTCAATGCTGAAGGACATCTTGGATGGTGCGTTCTGTCGATAAGCCATTTGTGTATATTAGTATTATATTATAGTTAACTGTTTGAAGACACTTTGACAATGAGCTGCTCTTGTCATTTTGTCTGATTTATACCCCCCTAAATTGACGACTCATAACGAGTCATAATTACGGTTCTTATCAAAACAATTTAGAACAATGACTTGTCATTCAAAGCCAACCGACACGGTTCACTGATTTGTATCTATTAAACTACAATTACTGTGACAATTCAAAGCTTATTTGATTGGTCAGTGACGCTAATTAATTATGTCAAACAATTCAACGATTTTAAATCATTCTATTTGTTACATGATAATGTCATCCAAGCCAACAAAGTGATTTATAAGTATTCACTGGTCAAGTTTGCGAATGAAATATATTAATTGATTATTATTATTCTAACATGAACAACCAGCTTTAAACGTTAACACATTTTTCAGTTACTTTCATTGTCGTTAGGCTAATATGCCCCAAACCAGGTTAGTTTTTCAATCTGTAAGAGTGGAATCCATGATGCATCATGATGGGGGGAAACACAAACAAATAAGAATAAAAAGCAAGAAATTGTGAATATAACTGATTTTTGTTACATAATATCAAATATATATACTGACACCGAAGAAGGCTATTTGTTAAGCCGAAATATTTGTCAACACGATTTATTAACAACATCTTCGTATAATACCATCTTATATTAGTATCGTTGTGCAAATCTCTAGACTTATATAATTTTTTCCTTATCTGCACAGTATCGTCTATTCTAGACGATCCGGTACATAGTAAATTTGCTGGTTGGTCCTTTTTATAGACTTCTATATATATATATATATATATATATATATAAGTCTAGAGATTTGCACAACGATACTAATATAAGATGGTATTATACGAAGATGTTGTTAATAAATATTATTATTGTTAAAATAATTGACACCGAAGAAGGCTATTTGTTAAGCCGAAATATTTGTCAACACGATTTATTAACAACATCTTCGTATAATACCATCTTATATTAGTATCGTTGTGCAAATCTCTAGACTTATATAATTTTTTTCCTTATCTGCACAGTATCGTCTATTCTAGACGATCCGGTACATAGTAAATTTGCTGGTTGGTCCTTTTATAGACTTCTATATATATATATATATACAAGTCTAAATTGAAAACTACGTTCAAACCTATGATTGCGTTGGATAAAAACTGCAATTTTTATACGTGTGCATGCAAAAACAAATTTCTTGTTAGAGGGGTCTAAATACAGCACAAACAACATTTTCCAATACTGTGCACTAAGGTAAAAACAAATTGCAGTACGTTTTAAAGAAATCACAAAAGGCGATACATGAACCTTATGCAAATCATAAGTTACGAAAAAAACACGTTTTGAATCTATGTACAATGGTCACATACCAATAAATCATGCTATATTTAGTCGGCATGGTATTATTAAAAAACAGACCAAATAGGATTGCACCATCAAAGCCTAACCTGCTAACAGATTATTCGGATTCCCCATAAAAAAGTGAACCAAAAAAAAACCGTCATGAAAGTCCAGTCGTTTACTTTACCAATTACATAATAAATTTTCATATAATTGCAAACTTTAAATGATTTGAACATGTTGAATAGTTTCAATGATTTAAATTGTACCGAATGACAAATAAACGACAATTTCACGGCCGGCCTATTCACCAACCTCAAAAAAGTGGTTCTCGATCTTTCCCGATCATAAATATAAAATTTATACAAATGTTCCCATTTCAAACCACTTTCTGATTAAGCTACTTCAAAATAATTTTGAGACCCATTTGAAACATAAATACAGAACGACACTGTTCCGAGCTTAGTCATGTTAGTCATTCATATAAGAAACAAATAATGTTTGTTTCCTTTTTTTTATATCATTGAACTGTTGGAGAGCAATCTACCTTTTGTAGTTTTGTAAAAACAGGAATATTTCTTACAGTTTAAAATCTGTTTTTCGTGGTCCCAGGTTTTTCTCACTGCTTTTTTCTAAGGTACTGATCATAATGTTAAACCATTTTAACAGACAGTTTTTTTTTTTAAATTTGTCATCATAATTTAATAAATTAGAATATCTATTGTCCTTGCATGTGTATTCTCGATAAGATTTCTTGCATGGTCCCATACCAGATCTTTTTTTAACAAACAGGTCAGTGTAATTTGTTGGTGCCGGATATTTTCTTAGCTTGAAATACAGAGATATGTCTCTGATATAAATATATTGAAGTAATCATTAAAAACCAAACAGAAATTTTCGCTTTCCATAACAGTTTTAAATCATACTTAAACTAACAAATAGACAAAAAAAAAATTATGCTGTATTTCCACATAAAATTGTCCGTTGGTATTTGTTTAAAGTTTCTGGTATTTAGATGTTCTCATAAAAACCAATGAAAGGGCGCTTTACAGATGTTCCTTTAAAAAGCACCAATGGAAATTAATTTGATAAACTACAGTGTTTGGCTCGTATTTTGAAAATATTTAGAATGGAAGATCAGGTGCTTGTACTTTTTATTTAAGTTTATGAGAGCCTCTTTATAATCGAGTTTTTAATTTAATTTGTATCCGTCATGTCAAAAATAACATTGTCTGTCACTCACCGTAAAGGGGTATAGTGACTGAGTTTAAAAAAAAAGACTAACACACTACAAAAAAAATCAGACACTTGTTTACTATAGGTTCATCATAAAGAATTGACCATGATATGGCTGTGTTTATACCACATATTTAACCTTGATTACAGACAAACATGTGCAGCTTAAAAGTTTTAAGGCATAGCAGGACCATGAAACAGGTTGGGGAGGATCCTCTTAATTTACATAAATCTTTTAAATGGGTACTATCCTCATTTATGGGTATCAAGTTTCAGTGATAAAAATATAAACTATAGATATACAGATATTTTCTGTCATGGCGCAAACATTCGGTTAAAGGACAACATTTTGCCTGAAGACGCCATGACTGAAATATCATCTGGATAAAAGTTAACACTAACAGACTTCAAAAGTAGGATTTTTGGAGGCCATTATCTTTGTATTAAGTTCTCATTTCAGGTAATGTCTTATAGGTAAAATGTTGCCATTTATATGAATATTTGTGACATGACAGCTACATGTATCATGATGAAATACAAAATTATTTTTTTATCACTGTAAATTGATACCCAAGGGTATAATACTCATAAATGGGGATAGTACCCATTTATGAGGATCTTTCCCAACCTGTGGAAGTACTATATGAGAGGAACTCTCAATAAAATGACTTCAAACCTTTATACACCAATCTCAAGTTGTTTTTTTTATGAATGAGTTGCACCAGTTGACCTGAAGTCATTCAGAATAAACAACATGATCAGTGTTCTCCCCAGGATTTTGGATAGCACCAGGGTAACGCGTGTCAAAATGATTTGTACAATATGTCGTGTCGCGTTGCATCACCTTTTTTTTTTCTTGTTAGTTTTTGTGTCATTACCTTTTTGTCTTTGTTTTGTTTACTGTGTTATGTAGACTTTGGGTCAAAAAATTACTGGTAAAAAAAGAGGTAAATCAATAAACAGTTTGTATACTTTAATTTCTTTTAAGAATAAATAAAAGAAAGCACTATTAGTCTTTAAACTTAAGTCACTTTTTATATTTTGATCAAGCCAATTTGTCCTGATACTTGTAGTTACACTACACATTCCCCATTTTTGTTAGATTACACCATAACAATTAAATTTAAACAAGATTAAATTTTAATGCAGAACCTCTAGTAAATTAAAAACTATTTTCCATAGCTTAAGACATGATTCTTTTAAACAACAATATAATTATTATTAGAATCATTATTATGTTACTTGGTAGACAGACATGAGAAGTAAATTCATATCATCTATCTGTACACTTGTATATCATATCAAGCTGAGTTCCAATCAGTGTCTTAAGACTGGGACTACTTTAACACAAGTCAATTCCCAATTGGAAAATACTACCTATTTATTATAATATGTCTGTGCATTAATAAAAGTATGATTATCAAAAATAATTTGCAATATATTTTTGTTGGTATGTTGAAAGAAAGTTTTTATCCTTAAGCTAACATTCTTATATAATTTTGCATTCAATTTGTACTTTATTTCTATTTTCAGTGATAGATAATATTTTAGGAGCACTTATTTGTAATATGCTAAATCAGGGGAAGTAACTCCAACACGTTTAAAATACGCAAATTATTTATAACCAAAGGCTGGAGTAATAGAGTTAATTAACAAATGTCTGCTTGTCCCTCACAAGTCTGATCATTAATTATGATCTCTTAATTAATTAAAACACAAAAGAATCATGTACATCGATTAAATCCAATCATCAAGGTTAACCTCAAAAGGTAATTCGATCACGTGGTGTAAACAACCTAGTTGTAAGAACTGGATTGAACTGGTTTGAACTGGTCAGTTTTCATCTGAAATTTTATACCCCACGGAAAAGGTTTAACAAGTCGTTTAAAACTTTACCGATTTACGATTTTTTTACCGAAAATTTTAGCACCACGGAGAAAAATTATACATCGCGGCAAGAACGATACCACCATGGTAGAAAATTATACATCGCGGGCCCGTGGTCCTTTAAGGGCCTGGGGAGAACACTGATGATCAAAAACAATTGGTTCTTACTGTGATGTAATAAGATAAGCATTGTGACAGGAATTCTATGGAAAAGTGCACAAATTTGAAAGTCATCTACAGTGAGATGTTGCAAAATCATTAAGTATCTCTTAACTCTACATCTCATATCAATGCATCGGTTCATTCAAAGTTTTTAGGATTGTGATTACAGAATGTATTGAATAATTTTTGTCATGGAAATGACATATAACGACCTAGTCCAAATGATCATGACGTCTAATTATTTGGACTCTACAATCTTTTGTCAGTTTCTACTGGTTTTGCTGCTTTAAACAAAAAAGGAAGACAATAAAACCGTGCGACTATTTTAACAAAAAAATCTTAAGGGTAAAACTACTTGTCACTCATCAACATTTCAGTTTTGCTTGAAAAAATTAATTTCTTACATGTCATGCATGTGGAAACAAATCAGTTGTCATCTGTAGCTATTAGGCCAAAAAAATATATATGTCTGTTTACGGTTACCCAACCGACCCTACTTTGAGCGCCGACCCTAAGTCATTTTATTCCCGTTGTATAGTGAAAAATTAACTGAACTCGTGCCAAAAGCTGTTAGAGTTGCCAACAAAATAAATCAATTGCCTGATACATCTAAATGTTCACAATCGTGAATATGACAGCTGTTTTAAGAAACTCGCGACTCGTGTGATGAAATTAAAATATTGTTGCCATTTTTTCCAACCAATAACTAAGGGAAATAATCCAATCATTAAAAGTACGGGTAAACTCAGCCCATGAACAACTTGGACCACAAAAAGACAGCTCTAGCGCATGACTCAAAATCATGTCGGAAAAAAATAAAATGGAAATACCGACCTACCTACCCTATTTTTTTTAATGATCTAACCTTAAACAGACATATATTTGTTTTTGATCTTATTGAAGTTTACTGCTTGACAAATTTTTATTAAGGTTTTTTTTTTAATGTCCAGTGCCAAATATTTCATGCATTTTAATACAAAACAAAATTTTTGCCAATTCATCAGACGATGGTAAAATAAACATCTGAATTTCCTATGATAGGGTCCACACAGTTACACAGTTTAAATCACCTATTAATGTGTAGATATATATTGTTTATATCAATCAGTACAGCTCACTCCAATACGAGGGCAACTTCTCCAACATATTTCCCTACTTAGTTTATTTTAGTACCTTCAGTAGGAACAAAAAGAAAAGAAATAGTCATTAAATCCAGAAAGGTTGTTTATTTCCTGGTACATAAAAAAATGCATATTTAGATTCAGCCATGCCTTAAAACTTTTTTAGGTGCACATGTTTGTCTGCGCTGAGAGTAAAATTTGTGGTATAAAAATTGCCTTATTTGTCAAATCCGTCATCATTTAATCAGCGTGGGAAACCCTTTTTGGCCAGGTTGGACTAGTATGGTGATGTCGGGCAGGTGGGTGGGCGGGGAATAGTGTATTCCTAGTTTGTGTAATCAACTACTGCTACAGTTTTCAACCCAGTTCCCAGAAACTTCACAGGAAGATTACACATATAGTGAAGTTGTGCACCTGTTATTATGGAATTGTTTGAGGAATTTTCCCTCATATTTCCAGATATTTTGCGAACTTAGTCATTTTTCAGCAAAATTTATGAAAGAGGGTGCAAGTTTTGTGTAATCAACTCCAACAGTTTTCAAGCCAGATCCCTGAAACTTCACTGGAAGATTGTGCATATGTTGAAGTTGTGCACCTGCTATTATGGAATTTTTTGAGGAATATTTTCTCATTTTTAGAGACTTGGGAACTTAATAATTTTTTCAGCAAAATTTATGAAAGAGGGTACAAGTTTTGTGTAATCAACTCATCCTACAGTACATTATACCTCCCAGATCCCTTAAACTTCACAGAAAGATTGCATGTATGTTGAAATTGTGCCCCTGCTATTAAAGAAGTGTTTGAGGAACTTTTTTTTTATCATTTCCAGCTATTTGTGTCTTTGATCAATTTTTCTCCATTCTCATCAAATTGATGAGTGGTTTTGTCTCACTCTGGACAAATGTAACAGAGTTCAGGACAAAAGAATGCTTATCCTGTGACAATTGTGTAAACATGGTCCATTGGTCAACCTGAAGTTTTCATGATTTGGTCCATTTCTCAGATACTATAAGCAACTACATTGTACATGTATATTTGGTGTATGGAATGATTGTAAAGTGAATAGGTCTGTCTGGCAGAATTCATCTGACCTTGGCCTCATTTTCATGGATCAATGAAAACGCTAAGTTTAAGAAAAACCTTATTTCAAAGATTTTCCACATAGAATTGAATCATAATCACTAAAGCAGGCTAGACATTTCAGCATGTGTACTCTTTGTTTCATTCAACTTGCCAAAATGAGTTTCTACTGGTCAACTTTGGCTAGTGACTAACCTTTTGGACTCCCTATGCAATCTGCAGGACAACATTGTACAAATGTATGATGACATAGATTGCTTAACCTATCTCTAACATGTTGTTAAAAGACATGAAATAGTGGGATTTAGATTTGTAAAGAGGGATACAGCTGGTTCCCATAGAAATAACTGGAGTATTATTCCCATAGATTATTTTTTAAGGTACAACACTATGTTGTAATGAAGTTTATAATCTTAAAAGTAATGGACATATTTTCTTTTTAATTGCAGAGAAAACCATTAGCGACAAAAAATGGAGAAGGTAACTCAAGGCTACCTATGTTTGCCAGTAAACTTAGACCACCATCAACTGTGAAAAGACCAAGGAGTCCAGAGGAGGTACATATCAAGATATGAAACTATTGCTAGATAAGAATAATCGTACATACTGAGGATAAAGTACTGTAATTCAGAAATTATTGCAATCGTTTATTATTGCGATTTTTACATGACCTACAAAAATTCGAGATTACCGATAAAAGGCTTGTATAGTCCGCGGTTTTATTCTCCAAAATTGAACCTGCCAGCAGGGGTGCGGACTATAGTGTACAATATGCAAGAAATAAGAGAAAAAATTCAATTTCGCGAGGTGGTTTATTTTCGTTCCGCCATGTTTGTTATTGATATTGTAGAGGGTGCTCTTATCATTTTTCAAACTAATAATTTTACCTAATCCATATTAATAAGTTATCATTATTCAATATCAAATTAATATTGATAAATTTAAAAATTAAACGCTTCATAACCAATTTCTCGTTTCTTTTCAATGCCTCATAATGCATTGCTTATAAAATAAACTGGTATCTGCTTGAATGAAACTGTACAAAAAAAGTAAAAAAGACAAATCGTAAACAAGCCTGCGATGTGTAAATCACAAAACATAATCGGTTATTATAATTTCCGTTTTGGTGTTTCATACTGACTAATATGTTATTTATTAGCTTAGAACCCTTCAAACCTTAATGTGATAGATATATTTAACACTATTTTACATCAGGATAGAACTGTTTTACTTTCAAAGTCGTATTATATTGATATCTAGTATGTACGGATTTCAACTCTCACCGTTTTTTCTCTTCTTTTACACATGCTTTTCAAACTTCCGGTTTAAACATAAACAAGTTTCTAAATTGTTTTTTGTGTGATTTAGACTTATTTCAACAATCGTGAAGGCTTTTAGAATCATTTACAAGCAGTTTCAGCGTCTGTTTGTTGATGGAAAATAGTTTTTCCAAGAAAATACCGCATACGACCACACACGATTTGAAATTACAGGAGTTTTTTTTAGACCTGTTCTAACAGTTACAAAAAGTTTTTTTAACAAAAATTTCATGGGGAGAAGGGGGTGCGGACTATGTTCCAGTGCGAACTAAACAAGCCAGATTACGGTAATAATTGCAATTGCGCAGAAAATTACATACAAATATTTGTATCAGATATACCAGAATGCAAGCTTATTATTGCAATACACACCCAGTCACATTATTCACATTGAATGATAAAAACCTCAAAATAATATCTGAATTTACAGTAGTCAATTATACGTTAACCTTGCCTCGGCATGCTGATGAACCTGTCCTTAGTCATGAATGTTTCATTGGTTTTAACTATTTTTATGATTGTTTTTTTGTCTGTTGAGATACATTGTATTATTGTTTGTGTTAGATTTTTGTTCAGTTCTGTTGGACTTTTTTCTCAACAATATATATTCAACAAGAGCATGTGTCCAAATTACAATTTCCATGAAATCTGGGTCAAAACCCTGATTTGGCATAGATATTAAACAGTTCATCTCCAAATGAACATGAGTACTAAGTTTCAAGTTGTTTAGACCACAAATTACCTTTATCCAAAGATTAAACCTACCTTAAACCAAAACTATAAAATGATACTGGACAGACAGAAAGACCAAAATATTGAAAAACATAATGGCCCCTCCACTTTAATAGGCATAAGAAGACAATTGCAGGCTAAGTAGAAATTTCCTCTTGCAACAGGTTATCTACATACCTGTCAGTGTTGTTTGAAGAGTTTTTTGGCATGTGGAGAGCAAGGCTGTCTCTCAACATGGGGTATTGACAATTAATCAATGAATGTTAAGAAAATATATTAAAGAGACATAAAATTGGCAATCCATCTCTGCTTTCTGTATACATAAGTCATGATATATATTCCATTTAAACGACAATAAAGAAACTATTTGATTTTTTTCTTTTTCTTGTATTAAACATGCATGAAATATTAGCTGCTGGACATTCAATAACATCCATCAATGATCAATGGCCAACAATATTTTTTCTGTGTTTGAATATTTTTTTAATTTTCCAGAAACAAGACAATAAAAGACGATGTCTAGATTATTCAGAAAAGACCGTAGAAACAAGAACAAGGAAATCATCAGAAACAAGCAAGGTTACATCCACTGGAAATGTGAAGACTGTGTCAAATGGGACATTAACTAGACAAAGATCAGAGACTTCTCTTAACAGGTCTACCATATCTAATACTAGTCTTCGTTCATCTAACAGTGGATCAAGTCTAAGGGCTAATAATGTTCGTCCAAAAGCTAACACTGCCGTAGTCAAACCAACCACAAAAGGTAAAGCTTTAATATGGTAGTAACTCTAATTTGTATTTCTCTTTGATATTAACTAATGGGATGAATGGATAAGTTTTGTCCAAAACAGATAAAGACAAGTCACCCAGGCCAGACTTAAAAATATTTCTGTTTGCCCAAACCCTACCCACCAGTCTCAGGTGTAGGTAGGTAGGTAGGGAAATTTTTTTTTTTTATACTTTAAGAGAAAAATAGGGGTCAAAATTATTATACCTTGTAAACAACTTTTAAAATGAAAGACTATTATAGAGTTTTGTATAAATTGTCAGACACATATATGCCAGGATCTATATGTACTATAAAGATCTTTTCTATTAACAGTTTTTTTCAGCATTCCACCTCAATGTTCACACTTTTTTTTGAATGTTTACATTGTAAATACAGACAAACATTTTAAATGAGTTTATTTGAATACAAAATTCAAATACAAAACACTTGAACAAAACACTATCATAATAATAACATTTTAAGTTTTGACTAGAAACATAATACTGAAATAAACTTGGACATAAATTCAAAATTACACAATATGGGAAAATTGAATGTCCTGTAAGTCCTGTTTAGAGATTCAAAATACATGTACTTATACAACTATGAACTGTATAACTGTCACTTTGACACTTAAAATTTGACTAGTAAAACTGACGTTTAATGACGAATGCTTTAATAAAGATGCATGTTTTTTTTTTAACACATTTTAAAACTAAAGGTAACAACTTAAACAAAGCTGAATCAAATTCCTGAACAACTTGGATTGGTTCCTCAAAATCGGGCTCAAACGAGTGTCCTGATTGGTCAGAGACAGTCACACAAATTTCATCAGGTTTCCGTAGCATGAAATCGTCATCACACACTTCATCAAACACCTCTTTCCATGTTTTTGTGTTTTCAAAACAATAGAGTTTGTTGGAAACTACGGGTTTTGATTTTAATCCAACCTTTATTTGTACTGATTTAGAGACGGTAAACATGTTATTTTTCATCAGTATCAATTGGAGGCTTTTATACATAACACAAATTGTCCTGTGATAAAGCGCGGTCAGATCAGATCAGGTTATTCTATGCAACAAACTCAAGACGGATACTATACGACAAAAATCCGCAAAAAAAAACATCGCGAATTTTGAATAAAAAAAGATTTTGACTTGGGTGCTTTTTTATGGGTCGGTCAGGTTAGGGCAAACCAACCTATTCTTTTTTATGGCCCCAACAATTGATTTTTTTAGAATGATAGATTTGGATGTTAAGGCAGACACCCCTTCAAGTCTTAGTATGCATATTAACCTGAAAAAGAATGTAGTAATAACATAAACCAAGTTATTGTCATGATAAAAAGCAAATCAAATCAGTACAGAATTGGTAAAAAATGTGTTGTATTTATGTACAATATAGATTTTCTGTTGATTATACCTATGTATTAAATAATTTTACATGCCTCATTTATATCTTCTGAAAAAATTCTGTTTTTAACAGCAGCATCAAGCACAAACAACAGACCACCACCTGCAAGAGGAGCACAAGGAACAGTTAGACTTGCAACCAGTAAGACATCATCTGCTAATAAACCACCAGGTTAGTCCTGATTATAGGAGTTTAAGATTTCCATGGAGATAATTTGGCCCCACCCCTTTAGTATGGTGAATTTGTAAGAGAGTCATGGTAAAATGTGTCCGGGTGGATACATATTACTAGTATTAAAAGTCCAATGTTAAAGAACTTACTAGTATTTTTAGTCCAATGTCAGTAATTTATGTCCCCAGACTAATTTTCCTAGGAATTCATGTCCATGTCATAAATATTCCTAGGTAAAAACGTCCATGTCTTTAATTTTACTAGGAAAATTTGTAAGGAAAGAAATCATTTACATGTAAACAATGGAATTTTAGTTGTTATGTTTAATAATATGTTTAACAGTTGTGCATTAATCTTTTAAAAAGATTTATGTCCCCAGACTAATTTTCCTAGGAATGCATGTCCAGTTCTTTAATATTCTTACACGTAGGTAAAAACATCCATGTCTTTTATTATTAGGAAAATAAGTGCCAGGCATATTTTACTAGCTATGGTCTTATTTTGCTAGGAAAAGTTATCCTGGGACTTACATTCCTAGGAAAATTGTGGTCATGGACTTGATTACCTAGGAAAAAAAGTCCAGGGGACAAATTTTACTACCGGACTAGATTTACTGTTACAAATTGACTATGAAAGTTTTGTGTAAACAACATGTTCAAAATCATCATTTGCATTATACTATCCAAATTACATATATGCAAGACAAAGCTATGTGTAAACAGTTTGTTTTTATAAATATTATTCAGTATTTCTCTTTAAAAATTACATATTTGAAAGTATTTTGTTTAATTGAATTTATTTTAAAAAAAAATTTATTCATTAGCTGGTAATGGTGGAGGTGGTGGGAAGAAGAGGCCAGCATGGGATCTGAAGGGTCGACTTGAAGACATGGAGGCTAAGTTAGAGAAACAAACCAATAACAGGGAAGGTCTCATGAATCAAATGGAAACACAAAATCAAAGAATCCAATCTCTGGAATCAATGAACAATCAACTGTCTGGGACTGTGTCAATTAAAGAAAATATAGTTAGTCAGGCATCCGAGGAAATCACAGATTTAAAAAGAAAACTCAGGTATGGTTTACTCAGTCTTATTTGATGCACATGTTTTGATTATCAACTGTGAGCTTTTTAATGGTTTATTTGTCACTGAAATCACAAAGTATAAGACCTGAATGAAGTATGCCTACCAAGAAGATTGACATCAAGGAGTAAAGAAAAAGTTTCTAAGAAATGTGCAAAATACAGTTAACATTAGAGAACATTCAATATCTAACATTATACAGGTCTTAGTGGAAAACAAAAAGGATCTCTATCTTAAATAGATAACTTTGTAGCAAACTACAAAATTATATCAGTGTTATGCATATCAATGAGATTCTTGACTGGTTTATTAAGCATTAAAATATAACTTGAAAAATTGATATGAATCAATACAAAAAAATCAGGATCAGTTAGATCTTTTTATTTTACAATAATTACATTTCATGTATGTAACTTTGATTTGCTGACAACCATCACAACACACTCCAATATCATATTTTATTTCCCTATAAAATACAACAGTTATGACAGAACATGCTATCCGTGACAATGTTAAAATGATGCATTGAAAAACCAACGATAAGCTTGATATGATTTCATGGTTATAGTATACAAATGTAATTATAAGAATTGAATGGTTCTGTGCTTCATACAAAATATGCCTCGGTCAATTCTTTTACACCCCAATAAAATTACAAAAAGAAGTATTCAATTCTCAAATGGTAAACCTTACAAATTCAGACAAGAAGAGGATAAGCGTGATGAAGTTCAAAGAGGACTACAGAGAGAAATCAGCGATATGACCTTTCTAAAGGAGACGTTATCTCGACAGAACGAGAGTTTACAGAGTGATCTGAATGCCAGGAGAGTGGAGGTGGACGGACTTAAAGCATCTGTGGCACAGCTAACATCAGCTCAGGCTGGAATGGGAGCAGAACTAGAGAATACTAAAGTAGGCTATCATTCAGTAAAGTCAAAGGATATATTAGTAGAGATGTTCATGTCTACCATCTATCATTCTTTACTCTTGCTGAAGTAGTGACTGGACTCAAATGTAAATTATTTAAATCATCAGCAAAATTTCTCAAATATGAGGCTTTTAAAAATAAAGATTATTTAAAATAACCTCACAAGTAAAATTCTTCGAAATTTTTTCATATTTAATTTACAGTTTCATTTTGACATGAAATTTACATTACATTTTTTTATGAATTTTTGTAAGTTGAATACTCTTGACTTTTTGTGTACTTTAACAGTTAAAATGCAGCTAACTGTAAATGATACTTTAAGGAAGGGATATAGAAAAAACAGTACAATTTGTTTGTACATGACACATGTTTCTGGAATAACCTACATCACATATATATCCTAGGGACAAAATGTTTGCACAATTTTATATATTATTGTATGGAAATATAATTTTATATTCATTTCATGATTCAGAAATGGCTGACAGTAAAAAGAGATATTGTTTTGATATGGCACAAATTACCCCCTTTGCTATTTTTCTTGTGTTACTAATATTAAGAGAGCTAACAAAACTTTTTTGTTCATGTGACAATAGAGTTGAAGTTGAAATATAACCTGTGTTGAATCTTTCTTCACAGTTACAACTTCAACAGGCTGTTACATCAAACAAAACCAAAGATGCTGAGATTGAGAGACTGAGAAACTTACTGGAAAATAGAGATAGAGAGATAGAAGAACAAAACTGTCAGATCAGGAGTCATGAAACAGAGAGAAGAAAATTACACAACCAAATTCAGGAATTAAAGGTCGGTAACTGTAATGGAATTGAATTTTATTATTTTTAATCAACAGGGAAATTAAAAACATGTCCATTAAGACTTTTAGTACCAGTATAAGAAGAATAATCTTTATCGTGTATCATCTAATATTTTATATTGTAACATAAATGACTATCATACAAACCTATTACTTTTTCTGTTATGGTTCACAGATTAGAAAATTCCTGTAATATTACATGTATAAGTGAAATTAAAAAAAAAAAATGAAAGTAACTTTAATAATTTTATATCGCTAGATGAAAAATGCCATTTGGATCATTTTAGGGCAACATCAGAGTGTTCTGTAGAGTTCGACCTTTACTGGGAGATGAAACTCTAGGAAACGACGGATTGATAAGTCACATGAACTTTCCTGATCAGGAACAAAGGATAATAGAGCTGGACAAACATGGTGATGCTACATTGAATGAGGTAAGTGTTAATATTCATAAATAAAACTGGTGGTGCTACATTGAATGAGGTAAGCGTTAATATAAACAAAACTGGTGGTGCTACATTGAATGAGGTAAGTGTTAATATAAACAAAACTGGTGGTGCTACATTGAATGCAGTAAGTGTTAATATAAACAAAAGGGGATAGATCAGTGAGACAGAAACCAAACAATACAAGAAACAGAAAATGCAGTTTTTAAAGTAAAAAAAAATAATGAAGTGTTGATAACATGTATCACTTCCAAATTGTCTTTATTCTAGGCAAGTTGTAAAAATATTTTACAGACACTACCAAAATTTTTTTTAAGGACAGAAAACTTTAACATCTTGCAAGGTACAGTAAATGGGCTATGTCTCAGATTTTGGTAAAATTTTGCTTTCAACTCTGGCTCGTTGAACTATAACCCTAAAAAAAATAATCCATTCATCTCTCTTATTTTTTGAAATATTACTTATTGAATTTCTTTCAAATAGGTGAACATTTGTAAAGAAACACATAAAATGGACAAAAAATGTGATTACATGATTATTTTACATCATTAAAAGGTAAATTTATGTATCAGATACATATTGTTTTCAAGATTTTATGTGCTTAACAGTGCTTTGTATACAAATGTTCACCAATTTTGTAAGAATTCAGTCAGTAATATTGTATTGTATTGTGCTGTGGTTTAAAGATATTTTCACCTTGTAGGACAGCTACTTAGGTTTCTGTCTTCACTAAATGGCAACTGCTGTAAACCCTGAATGATCATAGGAAACAACATTCAAGATTAATTTAAGAAAATTACTGATGAAGTTTCTGATGTAGGAGAGGCACGTAAATGTTTTGTTTGACAAGGAAGGAAGGTTATAATGAAACCAGTGAATATGACTTATTTTTTTCAGAGTTGTTTGACAAGGAAGGGAGGTAATAATGAAATCAGTGAATATGACTTCTTTTTTCCCGAATTGTTTGACAAGGAGGGAAGTTATAATGAAACCAGTGACTATCACTGGTGAATATGACTTATTTTTTTCAGAGTTGTTTGACAAGGAAGGAAGGTTATAATGAAACCAGTGAATATGACTTATTTTTTTCAGAGTTGTTTGACAAGGAAGGGAGGTAATAATGAAATCAGTGAATATGACTTCTTTTTTCCCGAATTGTTTGACAAGGAAGGGAAGTTATAATGAAACCAGTGACAATCACTGGTGAATATGACTTATTTTTTTCAGAGTTGTTTGACAAGGAAGGAAGGTTATAATGAAACCAGTGAATATGACTTATTTTTTTCAGAGTTGTTTGACAAGGAAGGGAAGTTATAATGAAACCAGTGAATATGACTTATTTTTTTCAGAGTTGTTTGACAAGGAAGGGAGGTAATAATGCCCAGAGTAAATATGAGTTTGGTTTTGACAAAGTGTTCAGTGACCATACTTCACAGCAACAAGTGTTTGAAGAAATCTCACAGTTAGTTCAGGTTTGTCTGCAAAAAAACAATAATTAAAGCCTGGAAAAAGGCAAGAATAGATATTCAATATAGAACTGAGCCGTATGGTGACCTATAGTTGTTAACTTCTATGTTATTTGGTCTCTGGTGGAGAGTTGTCTCATTGGAAATCACACCACATCTTATTTTTATAATAAGGTAAAGTTAAAAATCCCAAATCAACATATCATCATTCCAACATAAAAGATAATGTAAACTAGGACAATCTTTATAGATTCCCTTAATTATACCCCATTTCTAATGATGGGGATGTTGTGCTAGTTTACCATTGTGTCTGTTCAGCCCATCATTAACACATTTCTGGTGCTTTTTTTTCTCAGCTACTAAAAATCAGACCTTTTCAAAATTTTGTAAATTAGCTTCATATTTATAAGCTATACTGTTTAAGGTCAGTCATTTATCTACTTCTTGTTTGCCATATGCATGTATGTGCTTCACATTGATGCAGGTATAAGAAATTTCTGACATATTTTCCTCAACAACTGCCAATTAAAGCTTCTTGATTTTTTTTGCAAATTAGGTTCATATTGGAAAGCTTATATACTGTGTGACACATTTTTTAGATCCATCTCTTGTTAACTCTCTGTTTGCCACAGTCGTGTATGTTCTTTACATTGGCACATATACATGTATAAAAAATGTTGCATTTTCTGAGCAACTGCTAGTCAAAGCTTTTTGATTTTTGAAACCAACTATCATATTGGTAAGCTTAACAGTGCGGATCAGCTCATCATTGATCTTATCAATACATATACAACTAAAAAGTAAAATCACAAAAATTCTGAACTCCGAGGAAAATTCAAAAAGGAAAGTCCCTAATCAAATGGCAAAATCAAAAGCTCAAACACATCAAACGAATGGATAACAACTGTCATATTCTTGACTTGGTACAGGCATTTTCTTATGTATATAATGGCAGACTACACGAATGAATTTTATTTTTACAGGACATTCGGTCTGGTAAACAACCTAGCTTTACCAGACCGAATGAAATTTTACCAGACCAATTTTTTTTTACATCTAATTGTATATTATTCGACAAAATACAAAAAACTTATGACTTGTGCCCTACTCCTCTCCAAAATGCACAAAAACAAAATCATGTGACAAGAGTGTATATTTTTATGAAACTTGTGCACAATTGCTTGAATGCATTTCAGTGATAAAGAAAAGTAATGTCACATTTTATTGGATTTTGACATGAAAATTATTTGTGAACTAAAAATAATTAAGAGTTTCTGTTTAAAAAATTTCCTGTTTCTTTTTTCTTTTTCATATATCTTTTGGTTTTCAATTTTAGTGTTTATATTTCATAGCTGTATTTTGTGACCTGCTTGGATTTTTTAAAATTTATTTATTGTATTCGATCGGCAAAGCCGGAATTAGCCTTATCCGTTCCGGAATATTATCCGGTATTGTCTACATTTCCGGTTGATGGCATCCATTGTTGTTTTCGTCAGTCAGATATGTTTTTCCTCGGATTTACACATTACTTGTTGGCAATTTTCAGCATGAAGCTAGCGGTTAAACAAAATAAACATTGCTGTCATGAATAATAAAGATGAAAATGAATATTTTGAGATCGTTTGGGAATTTTGCTAGAATGCTAGAAAAATCCATGAAAAAAAACAACACCAGACATTCGGTCCGGAATTCAACAAAATTTTACCAGAACGATCCATTATTCACCGGATTTGTCAGACGGTCCGACGAATTTCGTGTAGTCTGTAAAGGTGGATTGAACCTTGTTTTATAGCTAGCTAAACCTCTCACTTGTATGACAGTCGAATCAAATTCCATTATATTGACAACGATGCGTGAACAAAACAAACGGACACAATAGGTAAAAATGTCAAAAATAGGGTACAGCAGTCAACATTGTGTTATCATCTTAATCACTATAAAAACAAACAAATGTAACAAAGAAGCACAAAAAGGCATACATCAAATTTAACATCCTCATTTTGCTTTTTTATTATACAATTTTATTTATCTATGTAAAATCCACCCATAAAGGATGGAAGGTTTTAAGTACTAATCTATATAATCAGTTTTAAACATTCAGGTAATCATAATACAGTGAATGTTGTTTTTCGTCCTGCATTTGGTACACAAATTGTTTGTATACATTTTATCTACCTTTGTATATAAATCTTCAATAAAATAAATTCTACTGAATATATATATATATATATATATATAAATATATATATTATATTTTACAGAGTGCGTTGGATGATTATAATGTGTGTATATATATATATATTATATTTTACACAGTGCGTTGGATGATTATAATGTGTGTATATATATATATATATATTATATTTTACACAGTGCGTTGGATGATTATAATGTGTGTATATATATATATTATATTTTACAGAGTGCGTTGGATGGTTATAATGTGTGTATATATATATATATTATATTTTACAGAGTGCGTTGGATGGTTATAATGTGTGTATATTCGCCTACGGACAGACAGGTTCTGGAAAGACTTACACGATGGAAGGTACATCTGTTAATGATGTGGACAATAGGGGAATGATCCCCAGAGCAGTTCTACAAATATTTGATTCAACCAGAGAACTAGAAAGTAAAGGATGGAAAGTGAGTGTTCTGTGAAAGTACTTTTATTCATTAGATAACAATTTTCTTGGATTTTCTTGATTAATTAAAGCAAAAAACAACAGGCATATTTTCCTTAAATGTGTTACTGTAAAATCAGAAATCAATGCATGCATTTGTTGTTGCGAATCACTGATTACTGGTAAAAATGTGAGATCTAATTAATGTGATTTGCAAACATTTTGTGAAGGTAAATTACTACCAAAATTATGAATGCAAGTTTTTATTATTGCGAACTTGATACTGTCTCATTTTTCGCATTAATATCATCGCAATCTGAATTAACAGTAATTGATTTATTTCTAAACCCCACAGTTAAAGGTTAAGCAGTCAATGATTTTTGCATAAACCACAAAAGTTGATAGATTTTTCACAGTATTCATAATTGATGGTGTTAAATATTTCTCTTGAAAGTTCATGAAATTGATTTGAAAATGTGAAGAGTGGAAGAATCTTTTCTTACTTTGTTACAAAGGATACTTTAAGCTGTATGTAATTAATCCATACATACTTGGGAGTGAAATAAGATTAACCTCCACAATATTAAACACTTGCTAAAGTAAAGTTTCCTATGACTCCCAAAAGGGTATATTTTCTTGACATTGCCTGCAAACTTCATTTTTGTCTGTCTGATAATCGACTGAAATAACATGTATCATGAGTTTGCTTCATTTACATAATTCACAAATAAAATAAAATTAAGTTTCAGGCCAACTTTTTAGCTCACCGGGGCCCGAAGGGCCCTATGTGAGCTTATGCCATCACTTGGCATCCGTCGTCGTCGTCGTCTGTCGTCGTAAACTATTTCAAAAATCTTCTCCTCTGAAACTACTGGGCCAAATACCTTCAAACTTTAACTAAATGTTTCTTAGGGTATCTAGTTTATAAATTGTTCAATTGGTCAAGATCTATCGACCCTGAAATTATCAGACGAATCGAACAATCCATTGTTGGGTTGCTGCCACCGAATTGGTAGTTTTAACAAAATTTTGCAGATTTCTGTTTTTATTTTGAATATTACTATAGATATATGTAAACTGTAAGTAGCAATAATGTTCAGCAAAGTAAGATCTACAAAAAAGTTAATATGACCAAAATTGTCAATTGACCCCTTAAGGAGTTATTGTCCTTTAAAGACAATTTTACACAATTTGTTCATCAAGTTTGCTAACATTTAAAAATCTTCTCCTCTGAAACTACTGGGCCAAATACCTTCAAACTTTAAATAAATGTTCCTTAGGGTATCTCGTTTATAAATTGTATCCGAAGTTATGATCCATTGACAAACATGGCCGCCATGGCTAAAAATAGAACATAGGGGTCAAATGCAGTTTTTGGCTTATATCTAAAAAACTAAAGCTTTTAGAGCAAATCTGACATGGGGTAAACTTGTTCAATTGGTCAAGATCTATCAGCTCTGAAATTTTCAGATGAATCGAACAACCCATTTTGGGGTTGCTGCCACCGAATTGGTAGTTTTAACAAAATTTTGAAGTTTTTTGTTATTATTTTGAATGTTATTATAGATATATATAAACTGTAAGCAGCAATAATGTTCAGCAAAGTAAGATCTACCAAAAAGTTTATATGACCATAATTGTCAATTGACCCCTTAAGGAGTTATTGCCCTTTAAAGACAATTTTACACAATTTGTTCATCAAGTTTGCTAACATTTAAAAATCTTCTCCTCTGAAATACAGGTGAGCGATTCAGGCTCTTGAGAGCCTCTTGTTTTACTTGTGTTTTCCCTAGCACAGGCACACTTTTCCAGTTAAAGAAATGACATGAGGAGAAGTAACTGTAAGAACAAGGCACTTCTATAACTACAAATCAAAAATTATTTATATCTGACATTCTAGCAAATTACTTTTACTAAAGTAACTGTAAGAACAAGGCACTTCTATAACTACAAATCAAAAATTATTTATATCTGACATTCTAGCAAATTACTTTTACTAGAGACAAGGAAAAGAAAAATTTCAAAAATATTGAAATTTACCTATGGTAAAACAGTAATTCTATATAAAAATGTTCCTGAAAAAAATCTTAATAATTGCTATTAAAATATATTAATTTATTTTGCAGTATTCTTTAGATGCCTCATTTTTAGAAATATACAATGAAACAATCCATGACTTGCTTGGTGATGAAGATCTCAAACATGACATTAAGATGTCTGGTCAGAAAAACAGTAATGAGGTGTTTGTTACTAACCTGACTATTGTTCCAGTCACTAAAGAGGAAATGGTAAGTCAAGATCTCACCTGACAAAATAAGTCACGATCTCACCTGACAAAAGTAGCAGGGGTCAGCTGAGAGTCCAGAGGAATAAGCTGCCAAATTACTATATGAATGTAACAAAATTATTTGATATTTGTATGTCTTGTATATTCATATTATCAAGATAGTAGATACATGTTAAATGATCATTAGAGTGGTGGTCACCAAGGCTTCCAAAACGGTCATATATGCCGGACATTTATACAAATTTCCGGTAAAAGTCCGGCTGGGAAAAACATGAAATGGTCATCTACTTTTTAGTTTTCAAGGCTTTCTTAAGAGACGGTCATTTTAACATAATTCGCGATCTTTTTGACCCAACATTTTGCCCTTAACAGCCACACATTTCCGGTCATAAAAGTGACATGATCATTAAGTACTATCAAAACAATCCCTACTGTAATACCTTCTCATTTTAATCAAGGCTAATTAGTTGTCGAACAGCTGAAATTTACCTGATCAGGTGACAGGTAAACTATTTTGAATCGGACATTGATCGGTTTATTCAAAGTTATTTTCTTACATTTCAGCGGTTTGCATCTAATTAAGTTAGTCAAAAAGATTTAAATTATCAGAAATACATTAACAAATATGATCTGATGAAAAAATTAAAAAGGTGAAAATGAAAAATCGTCATAACCACGTTGTTTGAACCAAAGACATGTCTCTGTTTGAACTAGTACACGTGTGCGCATGTGCGCAGGTGTGACTCTTATTTCTTCAAAAAATGCTTAAATTGTCATTGATACCTATATCTCACGTTTATTTCGAATATATTCTTTAAGAAATAACGTAGAAAGAGCTACGTACACTCATTCATGCTTTGCAAACGTACATGGAATTTACGTATCCGTCTCTGGTCCATGTTTTACCATTGTCAAGATAACATCCGGTATAAGATTTAAAAACGAAAGTAAATTTTTGACAACGTTATTTTGCACAAATAAAGAGTCTCAGGCAGATATCAGTACGCTGATGTTGCACACTTCGAATGATGCACTGCCAATTTAATAGTTTACGTCAGAACTTCAAATTTGAATCAAAGAAAGTTTAATATCATTTTTTTTAATGTCAATCATTGGGATGGCCAACTCAGCAACTGATTACCATGATTGCCTTTTTTTTTAATTTTGTCCTAAGGGATTAAAATCGGGATAATATATAAAATGTCCGGCTGGCTAAAAATAATTTTGGAAGCCCTGGTGGTCACTCTCTTTTTTGTTGAAGAAATGTCCAATACTGTAAACATTGATATTGGCATGACATTGACATGGTTGTTATTTTTGCAATTTCATTGCATTCACTTTTTGCATAGGGATAAATTCTTGCAATTAACAATAAATTTGTACATCAAATTAATTATTGAAATTAATATTTTTGCTTTCTAAAAAACTTTTGCTCTATTTGCTGTATTACACATCTTGTGATTTGTATTTTTAGTATTTTTTGGCCCATCCACAAGTAGAAATAGAGAGTTAACCTTAATAGTATAAGTAATCATAATTCCCCAGAATTTTGTCTGCACAACACTTTATATGATGATCAACAGTTTGAGAGATTTAATGACAGAAATTGTATTCACTGTTGGCATGACATGTATATGTAACTTGTAACTTCATATTTACCATCAAGTTCAGTGAATTGAAAACATTAATGTTTTTTTGAAATGATTTATGCTGACATTCATTATTATTTGCATTTTCACTTGTTATGTCTGTGATCATATTTATATGAATTGTTTTATAGGTGTATCAGTTGTTACAGAAAGCATCTAAGAACAGATCAGTGGGTGAAACTAAGTGTAATGAGAGGTCATCCAGGAGTCATAGTGTGTTTACACTCAAATTAACAGGGGAGAATTCTATAACTGGGGAAACCAGCCAAGGTAGGACTCTTTACACAATATTAACAGGGAAAAATCTGACTGATGGAAATCTAAGACAAGGGATAGATAGCTCACTGTGATTGCATAAAATAAATGGGAAGTTCTTTAACTCTAGGAAACATACCAAGATAAAATTCAATGTGATTACACAAAATTAACATGGGATATCTGACATTGGGAAGAACCAGACGAGAGATCTCGATCTGATTACACAAAATTAACATGGGAATCTGACATTGGGAAGAACCAGACGAGAGATCTCGATCTGATTACACAAAATTAACATGGGAAATCTGACATTGGGAAGAACCAGACGAGAGATCTTGATGTGATTACACAAAATTAACATGGGAAATCTGACATTGGGAAGAGCCAGACGAGAGATCTTGATGTGATTACACAAAATTAACAAGGGAAATCTGACATTGGGAAGAACCAGACGAGAGATCTTAATGTGATTACACAAAATTAACATGGGAAATCTGATATTGGGGAGAACCAGACGAGAGATCTTGATGTGATTACATAAGATAAATGGAAAAAATATTTAAATAGGGGACACAAACGCATGAAGAATTCAATGTGATAACACAAAATTAACAGGACATTCTGTAAATGAGGATAACCAGCCTTGTCAATATTCATTGTGTTTTTACACTGATATCAACATCTAACATCATTTTATGGTTTTATATACTGATATTGTAAATGTTAGTTAATGACTTAATAGTTTTATCTTACAGGTACATTAAATCTGATAGATCTGGCTGGTAGTGAGAGACTGTGCGTGACTTAATAGTTTTATCTTACAGGTATATTAAATCTGATAGATCTGGCTGGTAGTGAGAGACTGTTCGTGACTTTATAGTTTTATCTTACAGGTATATTAAATCTGATAGATCTGGCTGGTAGTGAGAGACTGTGCGTGACTTAATAGTTTTATCTTACAGGTATATTAAATCTGATAGATCTGGCTGGTAGTGAGAGACTGTTCGTGACTTAATAGTTTTATCTTACAGGTATATTAAATCTGATAGATCTGGCTGGTAGTGAGAGACTCTGTTCGTGACTTAATAGAATTATCTTACAGGTATATTAAATCTGATAGATCTGGCTGGTAGTGAGAGACTCTGTTCGTGACTTAATAGTTTTATCTTACAGGTATATTAAATCTGATAGATCTGGCTGGTAGTGATAGACTGTTGTGACTTAATAGTTTTATCTTACAGGTATATTAAATCTGATAGATCTGGCTGGTAGTGAGAGACTGTTCGTGACTTAATAGTTTTATCTTACAGGTATATTAAATCTGATAGATCTGGCTGGTAGTGAGAGACTGTTCGTGACTTAATAGTTTTATCTTACAGGTATATTAAATCTGATAGATCTGGCTGGTAGTGAGAGACTGTTCGTGACTTAATAGTTTTATCTTACAGGTATATTAAATCTGATAGATCTGGCTGGTAGTGAGAGACTGTTCGTGACTTAATAGTTTTATCTTACAGGTATATTAAATCTGATAGATCTGGCTGGAAGTGAGAGACTGTTCATGACTTAATAGTTTTATCTTACAGGTATATTAAATCTGATAGATCTGGCTGGTAGTGAGAAACTCTGTTCGTGACTTAATAGTTTTATCTTACAGGTATATTAAATCTGATAGATCTGGCTGGTAGTGAGAGACTGTTCGTGACTTAATAGTTTTATCTTACAGGTATATTAAATCTGATAGATCTGGCTGGTAGTGAGAGACTGTTCGTGACTTAATAGTTTTATCTTACAGGTATATTAAATCTGATAGATCTGGCTGGTAGTGAGAGACTGTTCGTGACTTAATAGTTTTATTTTACAGGTACCTTAAATCTGGTAGATCTGGCTGGTAGTGAGAGACTCAAAGAATCTGGATCAGAAGGTCAGCGTATGAAGGAGACGTTAGCTATTAACAAATCACTCAGTAACCTTGGTAATGTCATCATGGCGATAGGAAATAAGGTTTGTTGTAATGTATGATTGTAGAAATATATCAGTGAACATTTTCTGAACTACGAAAGACTTGAAGGGAGGTTTCTGTAAATGAAAACTTTCACAAACATTGCATTTCCCTTGATTTCAAGTTTGTAACAAGTTCTGCACATTCAACAACATAAAAGTTGGTCTAAAAGCATTCAAAGATGGAATTTTATCATGCTTTTTATACGTTCGTTTACGTGACATATTATGGTATACCGTTGTCCGTCCGTCACATTGTTGTTTAAAATTTCTGTTAGGGGAATTACTTCCTTCTGGTAAAACCTGTATGTACTGAAGATTATATTTTAGCATTGATATTGTAATACTTTCAAAGGAACCTTCCTTTTTTTAATGCAATAATGCTCTTGAAATTGATAATACTTGTATAAAGTCAGTTTCAGTACCAAATGCATAATTTTGTTTGATATCAAATACCAGCAATATTAATCAGAATTATTTGAAATAAAAAGTTAAAGCCTAAATTTATATATTTTCAGGACAACCATATACCTTACAGAAACTCAAAGTTAACTTACCTGTTACAGAACTCTTTAGGAGGAAATAGTAAAACTCTTATGTTTGTTAATGTTTCTCCTAAAGAAGAATGTTTCCAGGAAACACTCAACTCACTTAGGTTTGCTACAAAGGTAAGTGACTAAAGGAATCATAAATATGGACATCAAGTGTACAAAATAAGTATGCTTGGAAAACCAGATATCTTAGTCAACAATACATTTGTTGTACACTTCATTAATGTTGTACTTGTTAATGCACCAAGTATTGCTTGGACAAGTCTCAATAAAATATCCAAGGATACTAATAAGAGTACAACAATAGTCCAGTTAAATTATACCCCACTCAAAATTGGTATTCTGCAATCATCTTTTTACTGTAAATTTATTTCATATTACTCACCTTCTGTATTAGGGAATGATTAAATATGTGGTCTGGAAATTTATGATGTTGAGTTTCAGATCTGCTGAGCTTTAATTTCCTGTTTGTTAAAATTTTGAATTCTTTATTATACCAGCTGTATGGAAATTTTGGGGGAATGCTTTTCATGAAATTGTGTGCAACTTCTTGTTTTTTTTTCTCAGATTTACAAAAATTTCCTCTGGTTATTTCAGAAGCTGTTGTTTACACTTATATGGATATATTTAAATATGTTTAGTGTACTTTTATTTTGATGAAATTGTAAAAGTAAAATTTAAGATGTTTGGAACCAAAAATAGCAATCTTCCTAATTAGTCAAATTTTCTGACAAGTCAAAGTAAATTGTTTATTTTGAAATTTCCATGGTGATAATTGAGTGATTTAAGATAACTGTATGATTCATATTATTTCATTCTTTTTTCCTAGGTAAACCAGTGTAATATAGGAACAGCACAACAGAAGAGATAAACAATTAGAGATTTTTAGATTTATGTGGTGCTGTTGATATAGGTTTTTAAAGCACAAAAATGTCTGCTATATGTATTGTTGTATCAATTTGATGTTCATAGTTGAATTAAGAATTTTAATACTTATTTATTATACATGTATTTCATTTCAATATTTGCACATGAAATACTTTAACACAATAGGTATAAGTTACCCCGTTGTTTTTAAAACAAATTGGTTTTAGGATCATTACCTAAACATATCTGTCAAAGTTTTTTTGTTGAATTTTCAGGAATAATGAAAAATGTTTTATTACTATAGACTTATCAAACTACAGACAAAGTCGGTATTGTTGATGTTGATATGTTACAAAATTAGCAAGAAATAATTAATTATAGTTAAGAATTAAGAACTTTCACTAATAAATGCATGTGTATATTACAGTAAACATATGAATATTCATTCTCAAATTTCTGTAACTCTTCAAATTTACTTACCAAAAAATAGGGTTCTTGTGTTATATAAGTTTTTTTGGTAGAAATTTCCTATTTCTTGTTAAAAAATGCTGCAAATTCACAAATTTTTATGTGTTTTTTATATTTCTATTGTTTAACAATGGACAACAATGTGAGAAAAATGATTACGATTTCTGGAAACGTGGCATACAAATAATGCTTTCAATATTTAAAATGCATGTATTTACTTTTGTGAAACTTATCCATTTGCAATAATAAACATATCGCAAATTTTTTTTTAATTTACAGTTATATGAGCATATTTGATTTTTTTTAATACTAACACACTAGTGTCTTGAAGAATTTTGGTGCAGGAATAAATACAAGTGATCAAAACATGTAAATACTGGTATACTTTTACAAATTGTGACTTGGATGGAGAGTTGTCTCATTTGCACTCATACCACATCATCTTATATCTAAATACTGTCTAATATTTATATATATATAATATAGGGTTATTGCATGAATATTGGAAACTATTGTCCTGAGTACATTTTTATATTCCATGAGCTTGCAAGTGCAGTATTTATTCTAGAAGGATAATGTTCATGCAATAACCTTTTTTGCACAGCAAAGCTATAAAAATTTGATCAAACAAATACTTGTCACTGATGATGTTGATAATTTGAAGCTATATTTGCACTAGTACAATATCGTAGAATATTGAACACTTACTTTCTCTTACTTTCTGTGGGAAATATGTTGCTATACAACAAAAAATTTTATGAGTTTTTTTATATTGTGTTCATATTTAAAAGGCAGCATAATGCACTCAGAAATTTTAATTGCATGTAGATAAAGTTGTAAGTGCCAGATTTTTATTATGTGTGTGCTAGTCTCTGTAGTAAATGTATGAATGAGATTGACAAAGAAGAGTGTGTGCCACATGTATGCATCTTTTTTGTGACATTTTTAGTTTTCTAGTTTCTATATAAATTGTTGTTTCATGTACTGTAGTCGATATCAGTTTAATGGCATTTCATATGCTGTAGTCCATGGCAGTAAATAATGATCATCCATTTTACAGCTGTAAATATGTAAATATTTTATATACCTTTCAATTTAAACTTTATATATTCTATGAAACGGAAACACTCATTTCAGTTGAATAATACTAAATAAATTTGAATATAATAAACTGAACTTATATGAATTTCACAATTGAAAAAAAGTAATTTGTAGTTTGATGGTTAACAAAATAAAATATTCTGTTTAATTTGACATGTGGATTTAATACCAGATTTTGAGGGCATAGGGGAAAAAATTAAGTGTTGAACAAAATAAAAATTTTTCTATAGGCTTGTATGTAGAATTTGTCAAAACTAACAAATCAAATATCAACAAATACATTTTCTCTAATCCACAGAAATGTGTACCCTCAAAACTAAATGAAACCACAATTATGAAAAAATCCTTCTAAATTCTTTGCTTGAATTCTTTTAGGCAAGGTAATAGGGAAGAAACAAGTGTCTGGTGGAGATTTTTGTCTCCCTGGAAGAAAAACCCACACTTTGGAGAATATGATTCTCCTTTGGGAGAGTTTCAAGACCTTTACTCCTCTAACTGCAAGTTTTTAATTGAAGACCTTTTTATATCTTATAAAAACATAACTGTATTTTTATTCTATCGCATTTAGCTCTCTACATTTATGGTTTTCCCCATAATGTCATTTAGAACACTTTTTCAATTTGGAACAGAATTTGATGACCTTATAATGACAAATAGTTGCTTATACTACAGCATTTGAACACTGGTGGATAGTTGTCTGATTGACAATCATACCATATCTCCTTATTTTTATATTATCAAGTATTTCTAGAATATGATTATAAAATCTTTTAAATTTTGTAGGATCATACATTATACATCAGATGGATTGATAATTACTATCTATGACATTTATGTTAGGTCTTCTTTTTCTTTCACATTGTCTTCAATAAGCTAATAGAACTGCAAACAAACATTTTTTTCTTGTTCACAGAGTAAAAAAACAACTTTTTGTTTTAAATGGAAAATTTTGATTATGTATGTCACAAGTTTTGAAATCAAGAATATATTGATACAATAAATTGTAAGGAATGTATACATGTATATTTATCTGAATCTCTTGTAATCTTACTTCACTAAACTTTTCTGTCTATCCTGTTACTTACATTGGTACTCTTATCATCTATATTAATTTAAAGAATAAATAGTTAAAGAGAGTTTGCCTTTATTTATTGTCTGAATGTTAATAACTGTAGTCAAGAGTGCATACAAAGAAATGTCTCCCCTGCTTAAACTTTTTGTTATTGAACTTTTTGAAAGTGTAATATGAAGGTTTTACTACAAGTATCACATTAACCTTAATAAGTTATCAATGATCAATGGAAATGAGGCAAAGGTCAGATCAGGTCAGAGGCCAGACACACATGAACACCTAAAAATCATACCATACACCAAATAAAGTAAGACTTGCTTACTGCATCTAAGAAACAGACCCAATTATTAATGAACATTGACCAATGAACCATAAAAAATGAGGTCACGGTCAGATGAACCCTGGCAGACAACATGTACACCATGCAATTATTCCATACACCAAATATAATTGACCTATTGCTTATTAGTATCTGAGAAACATGTTACCATGAAAATTAAACATTGACCAATGAACCATGAAAATGTAGTCGAGGTCATGTGAACCCTGTCTTACGGACATGTAGACCGTAATAGTTATCCCATGAGGATGCACTGTGTCAGTGTAAGAGTACCCCGATGACTGGAGGCCAGAGGGTGATCTTACACTGACACACCAAGTCCGAGTGGGATAACTATTTTACATCCCAGCGCTTCTAGACTATATGAAAAAAACATTAACGTTTCTTAACATCTAGTTCAGAATGCCATACAATAATTATAATATACTTTTTATATTACTATATAGTATATACCCTTTATGAGCACCGGATACAATGTTTATATATGTTAAATTAACAGTGAGTTTGTAACCAGTCGTCCTGGTGTAGGGGTATGAATTGTGGCTTCATATTCTTAATGTCTTGAGTTCGATTCCCCGCATAGACACTGGAAATTTAGTGGATATTTTCTACATTAATTTTGAAAGTTAGTCTTTATAATAAATATTTCTGAGTTTTATTGTGTGTTCAACATTCCCACCAAAATGTTACAAAACAAAAGAAACTCAAGGTAGGGTGATCAGACTCAGATCACCCCTGTTAGAACAAAGGAGTTGGGATGTAATTGCAAGGATCTAATATACCAAATATAGTTATCCTATTAAGTGAGTATCTCACAAAACAACACAATATTTTTTTTATCAAGCAGTCCCTGAACCATGAAAATGAGGCCAAGAACAATAGACATTCATGTATATGACTGACTGACGGAAACTTCATAATAAAAGGCAAATGCATACAAGATATGAAGCATCCAGGTTGTCTACCTTCTGAAATACAATGCTTTTGACAAATAGTTTACATTGTTGTTGCCAATGGAACTAAAGTATCACTTTTCTGGCAGCATCATCTTTTATAACTAATCAGCTGAAATTTTCTTGGTATTGGAAGGATATAAATTTCATTTTGATTATAAATTTTCAGACCAATTGACCTGGACAGTTTTTGCTGTTGTATTGATGCCTTTTTTTTGGTTTTGAAACTTTGACTTTCCCTAAATTTAGTCTGTGTCTTACATAACGAGTTATTCCACAAAAGGTGGTGTGCTCTGAAATTGGCATTAAATGTTTATATACCGGTATATCTACTTGTAAACCAATATAATTATATTCTGAACTTGTTTAATTTTCACCTCAACATAGATCATGTGCTCATGATATTCCCTTTATATTTTTGATAATAAGTATGAGATCAGAAGTGACTTTCCATTCAGCTGACACTCATTTTGACCCAACTATTGTTATGACTTTCTGGTTGACCTTTTGACCCAACTATGGCAAAAGGACTTCATGAATAGAATCTGCTGTGTTTTCATACATCCTTGTAGATATTGTGCTGATATTTAGTATTTAATTGAGTACAAAATTATGTCAGATCCCTTAAGAGGTTAGTTTGAGTTGACTTACATTTAACTGAATTACAACCCATGGATAAAATACTTCCCTTTTACAAACTTTCTAGAAGATACAAAGCTGATTTTTTATTTGAAATTTTATAATCAGCTAAAGAAGAGTCCTATACAAGTTTCTACATGAGTTACTTCTTTGACATTATTAGTTGTAACACTATTCAAAATGGTTTTGTCTCACCTGCATTGATGCAACATTATATGAACCTATCTCATTTACTTAAGGGATAGGTCTCCATTCAAACACTTCCATAGACTTGGATGGCAAGGGTTCACCATTACTCCACTTTACATTGTCAAAGCATTGTAATGATAAACAGATTTTGTTTAGATACCAATGCTACACCAATACTCCATTTAACATCAACAAAAAATGTAAACATGAAGTTTCTGTAAAGATGCATTTATTATTACATTGTCATGTAAAAAATTCTCTGATTATATGTATATATATATATAATATAAATATATGATAAAACAACTAGTATATTTAAGTATAGTAAACTACAAAATGTACAAACATAAGACCAAGGTTCTATTAATAGATTTTGTTAGGATTCATGTATCTGGAAAAAAATAACTTAACCATATTTCTCTTAGATACAGATGAAATGAATTTAGTAATACAAGAATTTCAAAACCCCAAAAAACTATTATTAGAACCCAAGGTATATAAACTATTACAGAATATCTCACTATCACTACACATTGCAGATGTTGGTTTAAAAAAACAAACTATTCAAAAATAGTATATTCAGTACAAAAATAATTTTCACTTTTTAAAGCAGATGTAAAAATATAGAAAAATCAAATGAATTAAATGGAAACTTCTGACTGGATCATAAAAATGTTTTTATAAGCACAAAGAAAGAAAAGCAAAAATTAAGATACAAAAATAATATTTTGTCCAAGAAATTCTGTGTACAACCTACAAGTTTGAAAACAATAATTTAAAAGAGATTATATCCAAACATCACAGTATAAATTTATACATGTATCACATTGTAGAAAATGAAAAATCAAACTGACCCATGCCACCACAGAATCAAGAATTGCCTGTCATGATTATCTTTTCTTACAATTTGAACAAAATAATGAATTTGATGTCAGAGGATTTCTATAAAAAAAAAATGATCTGATGGGTAGTTATTGTCATAACTTAACTCCTGCATTTAGTGGTATTTTAACCAAACAATCAAATTTTGCCCTGTCAGATTGATTTATTGCTGTCTAAAAGTAGTCTATTTGCCCATTTATTTTAATGGCACCATACATGTTTGTAAATAAGAAATGCTGAATTGCATTTAGGGATTAAAAGAAACAACAAAATTCACAGAATTATAAAAGCAATGATGCATGTTTAAGGTAGGTGTATCATTTTAGCCCTAGTAATAATATATGATATCCAACAATTTTTAAATAAAACTTGCATTCTCACATGACTTATAAAAAAGAAACGATTATTTTACAATCACACAAACAAAACACACATATCATACTTTACTTGGTAGTTTGGTTCTCCACCATATTATTCATAAATTAAATAAGCACCACATTAATTGACTATAAATGACTATTCACATGTTAAGATCACCAATACAATTTGATTATTGTTGCATCCTTACTATCATTCAAAAAATGTTATCAAATATAAAGTCAGAATTCATAAAAAATTATTATCAGAAAGAAGCTGAGACATTTTTTGTTGGATTTCAATAAGCACCATCCAATGAATTTCCTTTTTGCAAAAATTAGTTTTTAGATAAAATAGGGTAAGTCTGCAAAATTAGTGTTTTGGGGACAAAATGCCCTCGTTTCCTATTCAATTAAAACCTCCAACCTTATGAATTTATTAACTTAAACATAAGAAGTACATAAATAGGTTATAGAAAGCATAATTTAAACTGAAAGTTTTTCAATGATATTAAAGAGTTTTCTGTACATGTATACCTCAATTTCTTATCTTTTTAATTCACTGTATCTCTAGAAGAATAAAATTAACAAACATATTTTTTTTTGAAATTCAGATGCTGTTTTACATGTTGTGGTTACAAAATTTCTAAAATAGTTAAGATATAGCCCATCTAAATATATACCTTTTAGTATTTATATATGAATAGAAACCTTCCCAATTCACACAACTAGTTACATGTATAATGAATATAATGGTTGACTATTTTATAGTTATCATTTAAATCGTTATTGTAGTTAGGGAACATCACTATATACAGTCTACATCCAGCGAGATACAATACTGATAAGTAAGTAGGCATGTTCAGTAAATGTTATGTAAAAAAAATGGCACAGACATACCAAACAACCATAATCATATAGTGTATACATAATAAAACAAATAAAACATATAAACTATTGGCATAACAAAAACAAGATGGATATAGCATCAAACAGAATAAAGCCATTCTATAAAAAGATCGATAAATTGATTGATTGATTGATTATAACAATTCATCACTTAATGTTTAGAAAAAGTTTCATGCACGCTCAAAGAGCAATGTTATCAAAACAAAACTTATCCCATCATGCAGTCCTTAAGCTTATGACACAAAAGCATACATATTAATTTCTTGCAACTGATGCGTCTCCAGTATACATATGCTCTACACTTCTGCTCAAATTTTAACTGAATACAATGTAAATGCAAATGAGATCTGGAATAATATCTTCCGTGAGGTTCTACATCCTATAAAACTTCTGGTAGTTCTACATAGTCTGTATTCTTTATTAATCCTATTCCTTTCAATGCTGTTTGAATGGCACTAAATACTGTTGGATCCTCAATAGATGGGGCACCTGAAGGAAAAGTTATAAAATATTTCATCACTGACGACTGACGAAGAAAAAAAATACATAACATTATCAACTCATTTATTAAAAACCTATCACTATTCAAATACTCATATTGATTTAAATGTTATATTGTAACTTTTATTTTGAAAGATGGCAATCTAAGAAGTATTCAACAGTCGGTGTAATTTGCCATCTTTGGATGATTTCATTTAGTATATTATAAATGTGTCTACTTCTGCCATATTAACCCATGTAGCTAGAAAATAACTTAAAAGAACATTACAACCTCTTCTCTCCACCAGAAAAAGAAAGCATTCTATAAACTGGAATTCTATATACATGTCATAATAACATTACAGTTTGTAGAAGCACAAGTATTTCTATATAAAACAAAAAGGAATTGGCAGGTTACAATTACAACCATTAGCTTTAAATGAATTATTTTCAATCAAACACTAATATATAATATGTAAATAAGTATAAATGCCACATGCATAAATTAGTAAAAAGTATTATGCTACATATTGTGTGTATTACATTATAATAAGCTCATAAAACCTGCTTTATATACATTTAACTCATTATTTTAATTTAAGTTTTCCTTTTTCCTAACCATTACTCTTGGGTTTTTTTCCAAACATAAAATTTGGAATTAAAAGCAGATTTTTTTTTTCATAGATAAAAAGTCTACTATATAAATATAATACACATAAATATAAAGCAGTGGCAGATATTTCTAAGAGTTCGTCTTCAATCTCAAAATGAAGTTTAAGTGTGTACATAATAAGACTCTGAACTTCATGCACATGTTTTAACTTCCATTTTCATGTATTACACACAAAAGAAAAAGTAGCATCATATTAAAGTATTAGCACAAAAGCGGGAGATAAAAATCCACCATAGAACTAAAACATATTAGTATAATAAACTGTTGACACAGAGATATGTCTCGCCTGTCAGCATAAAATTCAGAAAAAGACAAAAAACATTGCTTATTAATTCAGTCACTGGACCATGATCTAGTTGGCAGGGCCTGATAATGGTCGACAAAATGAGATGTACAGACAGCAATGTAACTTTATACAAAATATCATTGATCTATCACAAGTAGTTATTATCAAACTGACTTAAGCAGAAAAACTTTACATTGAAAATTGCTAATTAATTCAAAGTTACTGGACCATGACCTAGGGGCAGGGCCTCGAAAAAGTCATCAAAACTGATATGAACTGATAGTAATGCAACTTCATACAAAATATCATTGATCTATCACAAGTAGATCCTATCAAACTAACTTAACATTGAAAATTGCTAATGAAATAAAAGTCACTGGACCATGTCCTAGGTGGCAGGGCCTCAAAATAGTTGTCAAACTGATATGTACTGATAGTAATGCGACTTCATACAAAATATCATTGATCTTTCACAAGTAGATCCTACCAAACTAATTTTAGCAGATAACTTAACATTGAAAGTTGCTAATTTATTCAAAGTCACTGGACCATGTCCTAGGCGGCAGGGCCTCAAAATAGTCATCAAACTGATATGTACTGACAGTAATGCAACTTTATATTAAATATCAATGATCTATTACAAGTAGTACCTATCAAATTAACTTAAGCAGAAAACTTAACAATTGTTGACGCAGGAGCTGTCGCTGCAGGAAAAGCAATCACTATGTCTCGCTTTCCGTGACTTTCATTGCAGACGAGACAAAAATTATTAGTGGTATACACATTACACAACAGTGAAATGTTCACCAACTTTTAGGATAACCGATGATCTCCAATGCTGACTGGATGGCAGGATATACTGAAGCATCTTCTATAGTCACTGGTATCTATCATGGCATAGAATGGAACGTTAATTTTAATTATTAAGAAATATATATTAGATATTAAATAAGTATCAAATAAAATTTAGTATGCAATGTTAGATCATATTGTTATAAAATGCATCACTCAGCATCTATTTCCAAATAGTCAAATGAAGTTCTGCAATCTGGATTTAAAAATAAATTTTTTCGACTAAGTCTAACACCTAATTAATACCTTCAATATTAGAGAATTAGTGCTCTCTGTGACAGGTGACATCACAAAAAAGATACTTAATAGTCCACCACTTTACTTTTCTCGGTTGTCGAAAGTAAAATGTAGCCAACCAGAAATACAAAACTTAGACATTGACCTTTTACAGTTCTTTGAGAAATTTACTGGCAAACAGGATTTTTTTATTGACAAAATGAAATCATTGATGATTTTGTCAGACCGTAAGTCCCTTTCTCAATAAATTTTGTGTTAATTAAAGATATTGAACTGAATGTTGTCAATATTTGGTTTATTTTGAACACTTATATATATACACAAGTGCATATCAATCAATTTCATTATCCATAATCCTCCTTAATGGCAGTCTTGCATATATATTCCAATAAAAAATCTATGCACTCCGTAACTGTGCATCAAATATAGTTTACCTTTGGTGACACAGGCAAATTTTGCAGGTCCCTATTTGCAAAAGTACAAACTATGAAAGTATTATTGGTCATTGGGTATAAATTTGGCAGATTTCTTAGTACCCTCCCAACATAAAATTAAGTACCCCCTAAAAAATCTTTTTTATTTCATCAGTATGAATGTGGTAATCTTTAAATCACAAACCAATAATGTTTTCACAACCAATAAACCTGACACACAAGAAGAAAAGTACTTCTACAGTTTGCATTTGTTTTTGACTGAGAAAGAATGGAATTAGTAAAACTATGATGACAAAACAGATGCATATAGGATGTGGATGACAGTAGAATAGGTATAAAGTGTAAGGTTGCCTCATTCTTAACATAATTCTAACATACAAAAACAAAGTGTTATTTGCTTTTGAATAATTCAAATTGTAAAACTACATTCTACCTTATATTCTTTCCCAGCAGCCATTGCAGCAATGGTATTCCTGGCAATTTTCCCTGATCTTGTCTTTGGAAGCTTGGGTACAACCACCATAAGATTGAAGCTAGCAACAGGTCCAATATTCTTCCTAACTTGACCTCGTACATTGTCAAATATCTTCTCATTATCTACAGTTATTCCTAAAATAAGAAAATTAATTCTTCTATTACTGTCTGTCCGACCAAAATGTATGGATTAAAATAACTTTTTTCTTGTTTGTTTGGCAAACCGTGAACTCTGTATAAGTTTATATATATATAAAGTGGTAGAAATCAGTTCTGTAGTATAATCATCCTTTGATAACCTATTCCATGAGTTAAATAGCTAACAATAACAATATAGTTACTCTTGAGTTGGTAACAATGACAATTGTAATTCTTTGAATAACTAACAATGACAATAGTAAATCTTTGAATAGCTATTAATGACAATAGTAATTCTTTGAACAGCTATCAATGACATTAGTAAATCTTTGAATAGCTAAAAATGAAAATAGTAAATCTTTGAATAGCTAACAATGACAATAGTTATTCTCTGAATAGCTAACAATGAAAATAGTAAATCTTTGAATAGCTAACAATAACAATAGTAAATCTTTGAATAATTATCAATGACGATCGTAATTCTTTGAATAGCCAACAATAACAATTTCAATTCTTTGAATAGCTTACAATGACAATAGTTATTCTTTGAATAGGTAACAATGACAATAGCTACTCTTTGAATAGCTAACAATGACAATTGTAATTCTGTGAATAGGTAACAATGACAATAGTAATTCTTTGAATAGATAAAATGACAATAGTAATTCTTTGAATAGCTAACAATGACAATAGTTATTCTCTGAATAGCTAACAATGACAATAGTTATTCTTTGAATAGCTGACAATGACAATAGTTATTATTTGGATAGCTTACAACGACAATAGTAATTCTTTGAATAGGTAGTATTGATTTTATGGCCCACAGAACAATCAAGCAAACTTCAATAACTTTATATAGATATAAGAAGATGTGGTATGAGTGCCAATGAGACAACTCTCCATCCAAGTCACAATTTGTAAAAGTAAACCATTATAGGTCAAAGTACGGCCTTCAACACGGAGCCTTGGCTCACACGGAACAGCAAGCTATTAACAATTTTTATACAATCGCTAATAAGTCAGCTGTAAACATTTTGGTTCCAATAGTGTGTTTGCTATCATTGTACTATTTGGTAATTTAGACTGACCCTTTTTTAACATATCTAGATAAAAGTACCTAACTTTTTTATGACTATGAATACTGTAAGCATCGAAATTTTCCCACATTGATATTTTCATGATTCTAATTCAGGAATTTTTCATGTGAGGTTAAATTGGTGATTTGAAAGATAAGTCAACAAGGTTGATTTGTACAAACTATTCACACAGGGGATATTTTCTGACATCTTAAGTGATTGAGAAATAAGCGAAAAAAACTCAAGCATGAAAAATTCAACACTTAAAGTAGGTTGAATATATCATATAAAACCAATTCAGTGAGCAAACCACATTTTGCTGAAATAACCTTCCTCAGGTATGCTTGAATACCAAAAATCTGAGTGGCCAAAATAAAAAAATCAAAGCGTGAATGCGTTGAAAAGGCAGTTACCTACAGGATTTATAATTTTATGGCATGGAAATGATAATTCTACATTGCATTTCCAAAGAACATATTATTGTATGAGTATATTGATGCACAAATATCTTTTAATATAAAATTTTACCATCTACAGAGCAACTTAGGATTGACTTTTTCTACAAACAAATTGATTTTTTGTTTTATATTCAACAAAGTGCAATTGAATATTTAGGGTCAATTTTGATTTTCATGATTTGTGGTTATTCACATCTTGAGTTTAAAAAGCAACAACATTCCAGTTCATCATGATTGTTTGGTGTGAATTTATCTAAAAAAACATTGAGTTATATGAAGCATCTGTAAGTGTCCACTCTTTCCCAGAAAATCGCTATTCTTCAAAAAATTCTGAGCAAAATTGTAAATAATTCAAAGTATGACTCCAAAAAATGACCATGCCAGGTCACCAATTATTGTTTGTGATTGTCTACGTCCAACTCTGAGAAAGCCTGATACTACCATAATTTTCAAATTCATGACGGTCATGTACGTAATATAAAAATAATGAGATGTGGTATGATTGCCAATGAGACAACTATCCACCCAAATTCAACTGAAGTGGATGGAAGCAATTATTGGCAACCGCACGGCCTTCAACAATGAGAAAAAAACTGCTTCGCTGAGTGCAGCTGGATACGCCCGCAGAGGTCCAACCCTGAACAGTTAGGGCAAAAATGAGAACTGCTGAAAGCATTTTTGAGTTATTGTCCAAAAACTGGAAAATTCCCCCTTTTTAATGAATAAAACCCCATAACTCAGAAATGTAAAATGTAAAACTTATAACATTCTAAAGGGAGCTTTCATCAACAGATATAAACAATTCAGCAAAGTTTCATGAGAACTGCTGTAAGCATTTTTGTGTTATTGTCCAAAAACTGGAAAATCCCCTTTTTTTATGAATAAAACCCTGTAACTCGGAAACATAAAATCTCAAATTTATAAAAATCGAAAGGGAGCTCATATCAATAGATATAAACAATTCACCAAAATTCCTTGCATGTTGGTGAAAGCATTCTTGAGTTATTGTCGGAAAACTGGAAAATCCCCCCTTTTTTAATGAATAAAACCCCAAAACCTGGAAACTGTAAATCTGAAACTTATAAAAAACAAAAGGGAGCTCAAGTCAATAGATATAAACAATTCACCAAAGTTTCATGTGTATTGGTTAAAGCTTTTTTGAGTTAATGTCTGACATGTTGACGACGGACGGACGGACAGATGGACGGACGGACAACGGTATACCATAATACGTCCCGTAAACGGGTGTATAAAAAACCAATACCAAATAGTTGGCTATAAAAGGCCCTGACATGAAAAATATGAAACAATCCAATTGAGATAACTAATGGCCTAATTTAAAACAAAACAATTTACAAAAAACAAGTATGACCGACATGAACCAACGACAACCACTGAACCACAGGCTCCGGACTTTGAACAGGCACATAAAGAATGTGGCGGGGTTAAACATGTTTGTGAGCGCTCAACCCTCCCCTACCCTGGGACAGTGGTGTAACAGCACAACATAAGAACAAACTGTAAAAATCAGTTGATAATGGCTTAACCCATTTATGAGGATCCTCCCCAACCTACTAATGTAATCCTGATCCTTGTTCCTACGACCGAAGGAAGGCATCCAAATTTTTTTTATCAAAAAGCCGTACAAAACGTCATAATTATTTGGACTAGGGAGGATGTGAATTGTCTTCGAGTCATAGTTGACAATGCTGTCAGTTCAGAACTTCTGGATCATGCTGAAAGTCCTTTAATGTCCACATTGGAGTGTGTCTTTGCCGAGTTGAAAAGTTTATTAATGTTTTTTTAGGCATCAAAACCTTCAGATCGATGATATTTTGACAACACTCCACTTTTCTATTAATGCTGGTATTTACCTTTAATCATCCTTGGTGTGTGCCATAAAGAGAAGCCGTATCGAGTAATTACTATTCAATCACCTGTTGATTGTTCTATCAAACTATGATCACTTGTTAATTAGCATTGAACATGTTGGGCCTTTAAATCAAATAAGTTAGATACACTCAGGTTTTTACATTTTCAATTTACAGAGGTAGAAACCTGAGTGTAATGAATTTTTCACATGTCAACTTTGGCACTGTTAGTTTCGGATTCAAAAAAAAATCTTTTATCGGACCTAATAGATCGAAATTGTTTACCTGACAAAGGGTCTGACATGATAGTTATGTCGGGAGGGTCAGATGATTTTACAACAGCTTTGGTTTTCGATAAATTCTAGATGGATATTGATAGTTTAGGCGGATTTCAGCAATATTCAACGTACCAAATGTTCTGATGAGAAAAAATAAAAAATAATCGGATTCCAGAGAAACTGAGTTTTTATTGACATGTGGCGACTAAGCATAGATCAGTCGACTTTTCATTGTTATATCAATGACTGAAACGATCTTAAAAGCAACTCAAGATTAAAATATCACTCGAAATAAACCAGAACTCTTTCACATGGATTTCTAAGTAATATCAGTATGTCAATCAGTTGACTGCTCTATCTTAAATTTTGAAAACTTACAAAAAAACGTTCAATTCTTTACTTCACAATGTCAATAAATTACAATAAAAAACACAGAATATCACAATAGAAGAAGAAAAATTCCACTTTTTAGGATTTCAATTGTGACATATTTACCCCCCACGTAGAAACAAAATGGTTATTGCCTGATACCATTAAAGGCATTAAGGCACTGCCTTTAAAAACCCTTAACATAACAGAAATAAAAAAAAAACAGTACTAAAATTATATCAAGATTGAGTTTTTAGCAGAAAGAAGCTTGAGAAGGTAGGCACTTTATTCTTAATACATACCATGTTTTAGAACACACAGCCCAAGTGGAACTTCTCCTTTCAATTCATCAGGTATTCCAACTACTGCTGCTTCTGCTAAATATTCACTTTCTAGCATGGCCTGGAATGGAATAATAAATAAAATCTTGAAACAACTAAATATTCACTTTCTAACATGGTCTGAAATGGAATAATACATAAAATCTTAAAGCAACTAAATATTCACTTTCTAACATGATCTGAAATGGAATAATACATAAAATCTTAAAACAACTAAATATTGACTGTCCAACATGGACTGGAATGGGATAAATAAGATCTTAAAACAACTAAATATTGACTTTCTAACATGAACTGGAATGGAATAAATAAAATCTTGAACCAACTAAATATCTACTTTCTAACATGGCCTGAAATGGAATAAATAAAATCTTAAAACAACTCAATATTCACTTTCGAACATAGCCTGAAATGAAATAATAAATAAAATCTTCAAAAAACTAAATATTGACACATTCTCTTATTTTCAAACAAACAGTAATTTATGTATGTTTCAGCAATAAAATTTATCAACAGGTTGTAGGTATTCCTATGGGCACCAATTGTGCCCTTTAATAGCACACATTGTTCCTGTGCTATTATGAATTTTATGGCCAAAATTTTGATGTTCCTTTGGCACCGTCTAATGGTGTTTATATATCACAACTCGTTTGCTATGCTCATATCTGTAGTGACATCTTGGAGTTCAATAAGCGTAATGAGGTGTAACTGGTAAATTACTAAGTCAGGGATTTTGTTACCACAAATTACTTAAAACCTTTACTAAATTATTCCATAGATACAAAGATTTGGTTTGCAAGTTTGGCTGTACCTGTAGAAAATTTATCCTAATTTTGATGGTGATGTTGTTTACAGAGCCCAGAAATTTAGATAAGATACAGGTAAACTTATGTTATATACATGTACATATATGGTCGTATGTGTTTTGTAGTTAAGTCGTGAGAGTTGTGTCCCTTTGTATAATGACGCATATTTGTCATGTGATGTAATCTGTCTCTTCTGAATAAACCTGCCATGGCAATAGATGTGTTTTTGTTGCTCTCATTCAAATATAAGTTTAGCGGCATGGGGAGGCAAATATAAGTCCCCCATGTACGTAATACTTAAAAATCCTTTAAATAAACTTATTCTAAAAGGTTACCAATTCAACACTGTAATTAGATCTTTTTGAATATTATTTTTATTGGTATAAATATTGATTTTGTTATCAGTAAATTAAAACCATACTAAATATTATTGTTATACACATATTCACATTCACGGTACTACAATCTTTCAATACCTATATTTTGGTATTGCACAAGGTCATGTTTTTCTCTGACTGTGAATGACTTCTTTACACTAAATCCATTGGATGTTGTATATGTACTGATTGCTATTTTAGTCTTAAATACATGATTTTTTTATTAGTTGTTATTGGCTTTGAACTAGCTGTCAGTAACTGCAAGTACTCTCAGATCTGTACTTTGTCTCTTTTTTGTTTTTAGGGATGTATAAATTCCCTGCTACTTCTGGTCTGTGTTTTTGTTAAGTGTTTTCCTGCATTGTATTGATCTGGTGAGATAAGCCTTTTCAACTGATTTTTTATAGTTTGTACTTATGTTGTACTGTTACACCACTGTCCCAGGTTAGGGGTAGAGTTGGCGCCTTCAACATATTTAACCTGCCACATTCGAATGTGCCTGTCCCAAGTCAGGAGCCTGAAGTTCAGTGGTTGTTGTTGGTTCATGTCAGTCACATTTAATTTTCGTAAATTGTTTTGTAATAAATTAAGGGTCAATCTTCTCTATTGAAGGCTGTATGGTTGCCTATTATTGGTTACATTTCCATCAATTCATCTTGTATACATAGTGAACACATTTTTGTGTCTTCAGAAATTTTATTATTATTTTTCTTCCGTTTGAATTTCAATTATCAAGCATTACTTACGATCAACAAATAGAAATGACAAATGGTACATTCATGTAAACAATATTACAATATTTTAAAACATAATCTCATTAGATACACTTTTTATTTCACTAATCTTTATTTCAATTAGAACTTGCTGAATGGAAAAGATTTTATGTTAACTTGTATTACATTGATGACAAAACCCATATCTAATTTCTGAATCATTTAAAGGGAAGTAACTCTGTAAAAATATAGTCTATACTCAACAATTTTTATGCAAAACTAGGGTATATTTCATATGAATTTTACCATGCATTTGGGAAAAAATATCAAACAAAAAATGACCATATTGATAAACTGATTGATTTTTTTTTTTAACTTCTTAACACTGCCTTATCATATTCCAATTAAAAGATGATTTTACAAAATCATCTATATTTTTCTCAAGAAAGACTTTTAAAATTGTTCAAAGTAATTTGGTAAAGAAATGAAATTTCTATATCAGTCACAAACCTATTTTCAGCACCACCAACGAAACTTTAATCATTAATGCTAAAAGTGTTCTGGTTTACTGATATAGTGCACAGGATAGTCATTTTACATTATTTTTAGACTCATAAAGTAAATAGCCCAAGAACAGTTATTGCGTAGTGCATTTCTTTTAGATAAAAAATGCAAATTAAAAAAATTGCACCTGCTCTATCCAAAAAGATTTTTTACAGTGTAATGTAATACTTTTGGGACGAATTATATCAAAATTATAGAAAAGTTTATCGGCTCTACCTCAAGATATGGTCAATTTTATGTAAAGGGGGTCTATAATTCAGTTTGACAGCTTCAGACAAACTTTTTTACCTTTTCAAACTGGACCAAATCAATATAACTAAAAATTCATGCCTCAAATTTTTTTAACATGTACTTACTATTTTATGCATAAAATATAAAGAAATAAATTCGGAAGGTGAATGAAAAATATTAGCAAGTAATACACTGTCCACACTAGGACTCTATTTGTAGACAACAAAAATTAAAGGACGATAACTGTGTCCCCGTACCACATGTTTCCAGTGTTGTTGTTATGCCATTTTTAACTGACTTTTCAGAAGTTTTAAAGAAAACAATCAGTTTGTTTCATAATTCTTACAACAAATGTTTGTAAAGATATTACAAAAACATTTTTTTCAGACAGACATATTTTGAGATTTTACAGATAAGATTTATGAGAATAGCTCACCCAACACCTCCCAATTCTTATGCTACAGACAAAGTCTATGTTCTGCTAAAGAAAACCACATCAAAATCATTGGAATAAAAAAATAGGTAAAAATGCATTTAATAGAAAAAAGTCACTTGTAAATTCTGAGGAGTGTAGATTGTAAAATGAATGCATATAGTGATCTCTATACAATCCCAATTTATCAAACTGTGAGTACAATAACAGAAACATATCTAACCTTACCTCTTCAAGTTGACCAGTAGATAATCTGTGTCCTGCTACATTGATAACATCGTCCGTTCTAGCCATTACACTTACATACCCTTCTTCATCCATAAACCCTGCATCCATTGTGTCATAATACCCCTGCATTGTAAAAATAAATGATTATTGTTGTCAATGATAAACTGACATCATCAGTTCTAGAAAATAACCCTGGTATAATTCTTCCTCCTACTGTCATAGTGATACATATCTAAATAAATTTGATAAAATATTTGCCAATATGAAATGATCAGTTATAGCCACAGCACTTACAGATGTAACTGAATGAAGGAAGGATATATAAGGTATTTATGAATGCATTACTGCTTGCATTGAAAAAGATTTGTGAACTATATACGCTCTTCCAAACTTTAAAACATACAATTATATTTTCTTTGATCTGTTTTATATAAAGAAAGCATTATTATAAAGAACAGTGGCATTGAGTTTGAATATTGTCTGACATTTTTGAATTGTCTGTTGATTATAATTGTGAAAATTTGAAAAAATTTCTTATTTGAAAAATATTTGATGTTATAAATCAAAAGTGATTATATTACCAACATTGTCATTAGGTTAATTGGAGGAAAAAGTTCAGTTGTAGTAAAGTCACAAAATAAGCATGTTTTAGTTGTGGCCTTACTTGTGACACACATACTGGATAATGACAAGAGTGCACACGCTGAAATGTCTCGCCTTCTTTACTAATCATTGATATTATGTTGATAGTCCTAAATATAAAGCTTTATTACAACTGTCACATAAACTTAACATTAACCAAGTAAACTAAACATTGACCAATGAACCATGAAAATGAGGTCAAGGTCAGATGAACCATGCTAGGCAGGCATGTACAGCTAACAATTCTTCCATACAACAAATATAGTTGACCTATTGCTTATAGTTTAAGAAAAACAGACGAAAACACAAAAACTTAACACTGAGCAATGAACCTTGAAAATGAGGTCAAGGTCAAATAAAACCTGCGTAACTGACATATAGATCATAAAATATTTCCATACACCAAATATAGTTGAACTATTGCATATAGTATTAGAAAAAAAGACCAAAACTCAAAAACTTAACTTTGACCACTGAACCATGAAAATGAGGTCAAGGTAAGATGACACCTGCCAGCTAGACATGTACACCTTACAATCATTCCATACACCAAATATAGCTGACCTATTGCATGCAGTATTAGAAAGAAAGACCAAAACTCAAAAACTTAACTTTGACCACTGAACCATGAAAATGAGGTCAAGGTCAGATGACACCTGCCAGCTAGACATGTACACCTTACAATCATGCCATACACCAAATATAGTAGACCTATTGCATACAGTATAAGAAAAACAGACCAAAACACAAAAACTAAACTATAACCACTGAACCATGAAAATGAGGTCAAGGTCAGATGACACCTGCCAGTTGGACATGTACACCTTACAGTCCTTCCATACACCGAATATACTAGACCTATTGCTTATAGTATCTGAGATATGGACTTGACCACGAAAACTTAACCTTGTTCACTGATCCATGAAATGAGGTCGAGGTCAAGTGAAAACTGTCTGACGGGCATGAGGACCTTGCAAGGTACGCACATACCAAATATAGTTATCCTATTACTTATAATAAGAGAGAATTTAACATTACAAAAAATCTGAACTTTTTTTTCAAGTAGTCACTGAACCATGAAAATGAGGTCAAGGACATTGGACATGTGACTGACGGAAACTTCGTAACATGAGGCATCCATATACAAAGTATGAAGCATCCAGGTCTTCCATCTTCTAAAATATAAAGCTTTTAAGAAGTTAGCTAACGCCGCCGCCGCCGCCGCCGCCGCCGGATCGCTATCCCTATGTCGAGCTTTCTGCGACAAAAGTCGCAGGCTCGACAATAAAACTGATGTCAAAATCCTTATCTCTACAATTATGCAGCTACAATGCAATCCATATCACTATATGTTTTAAGAAAAGTCAAGTAGGGATGGACAGGCCCCCACAGGGAAGGTTTTATCAAATAAAACATTTAAACACTACTTAAATCAAAGAGCTTGCGAGCTCTAAGGAGAGAGAGCAGCTACAGCTAGAATAATAGGAATTACCAAAAAAAGGTTTCTTGTTTTTAAAATTTTGTGGCAATATTTGTATGCAGTATTTCCTGGGAGTAGTTATAATTAATCTCCAATTGTTTTCCCTCTGTTCAATAATCACAATAATAAATGCATGTAGAAGTTTCTAAATTTACAGTACAATAAATTCTTTTTTTCCACTCAAATTGTATGCTCCTTAACAATATAAATAATAAACAAGAGGACCAATTAGCACTCACTGGTATTGTCTTGTAATAAGTATCTTTGAATCTCTCCTCACTCTCCCACAGTGTGCTGAAAGCTCCAGGTGGTAAAGGCAGCCTACAATTTATTACAGCATGTATTGGTTAAAAAGCCAGTAAACAACATCTGCAATATGGACTATGTTAATAATAATTTTAAATATTCAATTCAGAATATTATTTTCATTTTACGTATAATTTTGTAAATGTAATCGGAGGTATTTTTAAAGGTATTTTGAACAACTTTGCACATGTTTTCATACTAAGTATTGAAAAATAAATAAAAGAAGTGCTTATATGTTACATTTTATTGCTGCTGGCAAAATTACAAGTAATTCTGTTCAGTAGTTCCTGAGAAAAGTGTGACAAAAATTTGTTTTTTTTTCATTTAACATATTGAAAAAAAAGTATCGGCAGATTTGAAAAGCAAACACTTGTTACAACTCATCACTGTCAACTTGCTGACTAAATATTTTTCAGTAGTTTCTGAGAAAAGTGTGACGATATTATTTGTTGGACGACAGACAGACAGACAGACAGACAAGGGGATTGGTATAAAACAGGTAGCAATTCAATGTGTTTATGACCATATACAATATGTCACCATGTGATTATAACATGTACAATTTATTTACTCACTTTACAGCAATTTGACCCAGTTCTCCTGGTTCTGCTGGGGTTAAATCTTTCCTCAAAACTTTCACTGAAAAGATATCATAAAGACAATATCAAAACTAACTGTGATTGTTTTAGTAGACTTAAACATTTAATTTCCTTTTATCTTTAGAATTCATTCTGGTAAAGGATAGGCAAAACTGACATTCTGCTTGACTTGATGTACATTTTTGTTGATGTGTATGTAAGGGCTGTTACTATCCCTGTATATAAAAATGTCACCCAAAAATTAATAATTTCAAACTTCAGGTCAAAGATCAAGACATGCCAAATTTCAACTTACCATCCCAGCCAGGAACAGCTTTACCAGCAGTACCAGTTGGTGGTTTTAGATTCATTCCCATACCAGCACATGTTGAAGTTATAGCCCAACCAGTCTCTAGAAATAAAAAAAGGCAGATTCATTATACTGAAGATAAATTCTTATAAGACTGGAATAACACTCAGATGATGTATTGATTCATGACAACAGTTCTAAATTAGAACAGCTTTTGAAAACATTCCTGTATCTTTCATTGTCTCTTAATGGTTTTCTAGCCCTATCTTGCTTGTTGATAGTGATATAACAGATTTACCCTCTGAATCATTCCTGGACCATTCATTATCACTTACATGTTAGCCCCATGTCATGTTTGCCTTCCTGGGCAGTCCTGGACCATTCATTATCTCTTACATGTTAGCCCCAAGTCATGTTTACCTTCCTGGGCAGTCCTGGACCATTCATTATCTCTTACATGTTAGCCCCAAGTCATATTTGCCTTCCTGGGCAGCCCTGGACCATTCATTATCTCTTACATGTTAGCCCCATATCATGTTTGCCTTCCTGGGCAGCCCTGGACCATTCATTATCTCTTACATGTTAGCCCCAAGTCATGTTTGCCTTCTTGGGCAGTCCTGGGCCATTCATTATCTCTTACATGTTAGCCCCATGTCATGTTTGCCTTCCTGGGCAGTCCTGCCCCAAGTCATGTTTACCTTCCTGGGCAGTCCTGGACCATTCATTATCTCTTACATGTTAGCCCCATGTCATGTTTACCTTCCTGGGCAGCCCTGGACCATTCATTATCTCTTACATGTTAGCCCCAAGTCATGTTTACCTTCCTGGACCATTCATTATCTCTTACATGTTAGCCCCAAGTCATGTTTGCCTTCCTAGGCAGCCCTGGACCATTCATTATCTCTTACATGTTAGCCCCAAGTCATGTTTGCCTTCCTGGGCAGCCCTGGACCATTCATCATTTCTTACATGTTAGCCCCATTTCATGTTTGCCTTCCAGGGTAGCCCTGGACCATTCATAATCTCTTACATGTTAGCGCCATGTCATGTTTGCCTTCCTGGGCAGTCCTGGACCATTCATTATCTCTTACATGTTAGCCCCATGTCATGTTTGCCTTCCTGGGCAGTCCTGCCCAAGTCATGTTTACCTTTCTGTGCAGTCCTGGACCATTCATTATCTCTTACATGTTAGCCCCATGTCATGTTTACCTTCCTGGGCAGTCCTGGAACATTCATTATCTCTTACATGTTAGCCCCATGTCATATTTGCCTTCCTGGGCAGTCCTGGACCATTCATTATCTCTTACATGTTAGCCCCAAGTCATGTTTGCCTTCCTGGGCAGTCCTGGACCATTCATTATCTCTTACATGTTAGCCCCAAGTCATGTTTGCCTTCTTGGGCAGCCCTGGACCATTCATTATCTCTTACATATTAGCCCCAAGTCATGTTTGCCTTCCTGGGCAGTCCTGGACCATTCATTATCTCTTATATGTTAGCCCCATGTCATGTTTGCCTTCCTGGGCAGTCCTGGACCATTCATTATCTCTTACATGTTAGCCCCATGTCATGTTTGCCTTCCTGGGCAGCCCTGGACCATTCATTATCTCTTACATGTTAGCCCCATGTCATGTTTACCTTCCTGAGCAGTCCTGGACCATTCATTATCTCTTACATGTTAGCCCCAAGTCATGTTTGCCTTCCTGGGCAGTCCTGGACCATTCATTATCTATTACATGTTAGCCCCAAGTCATGTTTGCCTTCCTAGGCAGCCCTGGACCATTCATTATCTCTTACATGTTAGCCCCATTTCATGTTTACCTTCCTGAGCGGTCCTGGACCATTCATTATCTCTTACATGTTAGCCCCATGTCATGTTTGCCTTCCTGGGCAGTCCTGGGCCATTCATTATCTCTTACATGTTAGCCCCAAGTCATGTTTACCTTCCTGGGCAGTCCTGGACCATTCATTATCTCTTACATGTTAGCCCCATGTCATGTTTACCTTCCTGGGAAGCCCTGGACCATTCATTATCTCTTACACGTTAGCCCCAAGTCATGTTTGCCTTCCTGGGCAGTCCTGGACCAATCATTATCTCTTACATGTTAGCCCCAAGTCATGTTTGCCTTCCTGGGCAGCCCTGGGCCATTCATTATCTCTTACCTGTTAGCCCCAAGTCATGTTTGCCTTCCTGGGCAGCCCTGGACCATTCATTATCTCTTACATGTTAGCCTCAAGTCATGTTTGCCTTCCTGGGCAGTCCTGGACCATTCATTATCTCTTACATGTTAGCCCCAAGTCATGTTTGCCTTCCTGGGCAGTCCTGGACCATTCATTATCTCTTACATGTTAGCCCCATGTCATGTTTGCCTTCCTGAGCAGTTCTGGATCTTTCCATTGTTACCCACTTGTTTGTCACAAATCATGTTAGCATGCAAGAGTATTACTGGACTGTTCCATTATTCCTTACCTGTTTGCCACCAGTTATCTAAAACAGGTTTGCCTTCCAAAGCATTCCTGGACCATTCCATTGTCTCTTTATCACAATGCTCCCCTGCTACAAATAATGCCTGGAACCTAAAGATAAAGATTTAACCTTTACATTTTGAATCTTATATGAAACTTTAATCTATTTATAGAAATTATAAACCATGTAAAATTCAAAAGAAAATCCCACAAACCTAATGAAAGTACCGATAATTATAATAAACAAATCAAATAAAATCTTGTTATTTCTTTTTCTTTGAAAAGTGGCATTCAGCATCTTAGATAACAAACAATATCATTTTATTTCTTCAACATCTTAAAAGAAAATTCATGCTATAAGCAGACTAAAATTTTAAGGACAACAACTACCGTATAATGGAAATCAGCTAAAACTGAAGAGGACATGCAATGTTATTATTAGTGTGCTTAATCAAAGAAAAAATATTGCTTAAATCCTTAACTTAAAGAAATTGTGTACATATTCTAAGATAAAGCACACAGATTTCAGTCTTTTACAAGATTACAAGGTATCTTTAATAATGAGGGGCCTGATGGGGGGGTCTCATCACGATTCACGAGTTGATTTTTTTGTCAATCACGATTCACAGAAAATAGATTTCCATGATCACGGATCACGAAAATATATAAAAAAAAAAATCTGCATAAAAACGGATCACGATAGCGAAAATGCAATCACGAAGAACGAAAATAACCCATCAGGCCCCTCAATAATGTGAAAGTATTTTCCCTGTAACTCAACCAAACCCCATAGTTATTATAAAACACTTCAACAAGAAAACTTCACTAATTCTATGAACTAGAGTTTTGACTACTTACTCATGTAAAGGTTTATACTTTTTAGCATAGTCAGCCTCTGGATCCTGTGTAAAACAATAACATTATATCTTACCTAAAGATCTTATTTAATTGTAGGAGCTATTTATTTTCTAAAATTTGTTGATAACATACTGAATAAGAAAGATATCCTCACACAATACTGATACAACTAAAAAAACACACAGAAAATCCATTAAAAAAACTCAAAAACACACAAAAAAACGTTTTTTCTAAATCTGGTCAGAAGATTAAATTTTAATAATTACAATAAGTTAACAAGTAAAAATGGATAACTGATAAAATTTGAAAACTGAACTTTAATTCATGCAAAAATTCTAAATACTGTAAAAGCTATCATTTTTTTCCATTTATGCTGTTTTTCAAAGTTTAAACCATAGAACTATGATACAAATTAATTACACCAACAACAAATGTGACATAAATCCATGGTCAAGCATTTTATTTTTCTCAAAAATGGATTTGTTTTGTATTGTGATTTGACTGCTAAACTGTTCAAATAAAATAAACCTAAAAAAGAAAATAGGATTAATGAACTTAAATTCAGAGTTTTATCTTAAAAAAAGATGCCAGTCAAACTTTTACAGTGTTTTGTTTACCAAATTTAAAGTAAATGAACTATGCTTGTGAATTAATCAACAGTCTTACTTCTCTCCTAACAGCCCTGAGGGCTGTAGGGGCTACAAACATGGCCTTCACATCATGCTCCCTCAGAATTCTGAAATACACTCCTGGATCAGGGGTTCCTACAGGTTTTCCCTGCAAATTAAGAGTTTAATGTATATTTATTATAATTAATTGTAAAGCTGGTTTTTAAAGGCTTGCTTATTTTCAACTTTTTTTGTTGACTATCAACACAGTTGGTTGGTTCATTAATGAGTTGTTTTATACTGAAATGAATAAAAACAACTATTAAAGAGCTTTTATTACTAAAATTACTGTTACCGTTTTTTGTACTCTATGTCTTGTTTGATTACTTCTTGTCAAGCTTCCACTCAACATAATCAAATAACAAAATTTTAATGCCATTAAACAGAATTAATTACAGACAAAACCTTCAATTGAGAAACAGATTCAGAATTCAGTTGTTCAGTTTTTTTGAGTTCATCCATCCCATAAACATACTTTAAAACTCAATGTTTTCCAATATTCACATGTAAGTTGTTTTCATTAATTGTTTTTGTGCGTGTTATTTTTGCTCAAATTAAGGTACTGACTCAGATAGGTGACAATGACCTTAGATTGTAATTGGTAATTCCTTTGACATTCATTTGGTTTTGTTCCTTCCAATATTTTTACTTTTATTATAGGTATGAACGTTCACAATGGAGGTAAACCTTGATTAGCACTTTTACCATAATAAAAGGGATTTGTGTGCTATATTTCTTTTAATATTCAAATTGGTCTTCATTATATCAAAATTATATCAAAAAACATATTCTACAGGATGAAAGGACAGAAAATTTAAGGATCTACCGAATACTTTATAGAAATTATATGCAGATATTTTCATGTATAAAATTTACCTCAAACAAAATAGTTGTATTACCATTGAGCAAAGGTGCATATGCTATATATGAATGTCCTACAACCCATCCAAGGTCAGATGCTGCCCACCATACCTAAAATACACCATGTAATGTAAAAATGTCCTATGACCCAGCCAAGGTCAGATACTGCCTACTATACCTAAAATACACAATGTAATATAAAAATGTTCTACAACCCAGCCAAGGTCAGACACTGCCCACCATACCTAAAATAGACAATATAATGTAACAAGAGTGCACACGCTGAAATGTCTCGCCTTCTTTACTAATCATTGATATTATGTTGATAGTCCTAAATATAAAGCTTAATTACAACTGTCACATAAACTTAACATTAACCAAGTAAACTAAACATTGACCAATGAACCATGAAAACGAGGTCAAGGTCAGATAAACCATGCTAGGCAGGCATGTACAGCTAACAATTCTTCCATACAACAAATATAGTTGACCTATTGCTTATAGTTTAAGAAAAACAGTCCAAAACACAAAAACTTAACACTGAGCAATGAACCTTGAAAATGAGGTCAAGGTCAAATAAAACCTGCGTGACTGACAAATAGATCATAAAATATTTCCATACACCAAATATAGTTGAACTATTGCATATAGTATTAGAAAAAAAGACCTAAACTCAAAAACTTAACTTTGACCACTGAACCATGAAAATGAGGTCAAGGTCAGATGACACCTGCCCGCTAGACATGTACACCTTACAATCATTCCATACACCAAATATAGTAGACCTATTGCATACAGTATAAGAAAAACAGACCAAAACACAAAAACTTAACTACAACCACTGAACCATGAAAATGAGGTCAAGGTCAGATGACACCTGCCAGTTGGACATGTACACCTTACAGTCCTTCCATACACCGAATATACTAGACCTTTTGCTTATAGTATCTGAGATATGGACTTGACCACCAAAACTTAACCTTGTTCACTGATCCATGAAATGAGGTCAAGGTCAAGTGAAAACTGTCTGACGGGCATGAGGACCTTGCAAGGTACGCACATACCAAATATACTTATCCTATTACTTATAATAAGAGAGAATTTAACATTACAAAAAATCTTAACTTTTTTTTCAAGTAGTCACTGAACCATGAAAATGAGGTCAAGGACATTGGATATGTGACTGACGGAAACTTCATAACATGAGGCATCCGTATACAAAGTATGAAGCATCCAGACCTTCCACCTTCTAAAATATAAAGCTTTGAAGAAGTTAGCTAACGCCGACGCCGCCGGATCACTATCCCTATGTCTAGCTTTCTGCGACAAAAGTCGCAGGCTCAACAAAAATGTCCTACAATCCATCCAAGGTCAGATGCTGCCCACCATACCTAAAATACACAATGTAATGTATAATGTCCTACAACTCAGCCAAGGTAAGACGCTGCCGAACATACCTAAAATACACAATGTAATGTATAATGTCCTACAACTCAGCCAAGGTCAGACGCTGCCCACCATACCTAAAATACACAAAGTAATGTATAATGTCCTACAACCCATCTAAGGTCAGATGCTGCCCACTATACCTAAAATACACAATGAAATGTATAATGTCCTACAACTCAGCCAAGGTCAGACACTGCCCACCATACCTAAAATAGACAATATAATGTAAAAATGTCCTACAACCCAGCCAAGGTCAGACGCTGCTCACCATACCTAAAATAGACAGTATAATGTAAAAATGTTATACAACCCAGCCAAGGTCAGACGCTGCCCACCATACCTTAAATAGACAATATAATGTAAAAATGTTATACAACCTAGCCAAGGTCAGACGCTGCCCACCATACCTAAAATAGACAATATAATGAAAAATGTTATACAACCTAGCCAAGGTCAGATGCTGCACACCATACCTAAATAGACAATATAGTGTAAAAATGTCCTACAACCCAGCCAAGGTCAGATGCTGCTCACCATACCTAAAATAGACAATATAGTGTAAAAAATGTCCTACAACCCAGCCAAGGTCAGAAGCTGCCCACCATACTTAAAATAGACAGTATAATGTAAAAATGTTATACAACCCAGCCAAGGTCAGACGCTGCTCACCATACCTAAAATAGACAGTGTAATGTAAAAATGTTATACAACCCAGCCAAGGTCAGATGCTGCCCACCATACCTAAAATAGACAATATAGTGTAAAAAAAATCCTACAACCTAGCCAAGGTCAGACGCTGCTCACCATACCTAAAATAGACAATATAGTGTAAAAATGTCCTACAATCCAGCCAAGGTCAGATGCTGCCCACCATACCTAAAAGAGACAATATAATGTAAAAATGTCCTACAACCTAGCAAAGGTCAGACAATGCACACCATACCTAAAATAGACAATATAATGTAAAAATGTCCATCAACCCAGCAAAGGTCAAACAATGCTCACCATACCTAAAATAGACTGTATAATGTAAAAATGTCCTACAACCCAGCAAAGGTCAGACAATGATCACCATACCTACAACAGACAGTGTAATGTAAAAATGTCCTACAACACAGCCAAGGTCAGATGCTGCCCACCATACCTAAAATAGACAGCATAATGTAAAAATGTCCAACAACCCAGCCAAGGTCAGACACTGCCCACCATACCTAAAATAGACAGCATAATGTAAAAATGTCCTACAACCCAGCAAAGGTCAGACACTGCCCACCATACCTTAAATAAATAATGTAATGTAAAAATGTCCTATAACCCAGCCAAGGTCAGACACTGCCCACCATACCTTAAATAGACAATATAATGTAAAAATGTCCTTCAACCCAGTCAAGGTAAAGCGCTGCCCACCATACCTTAAACAGAAAGTATAATGTAAAAATGTCCTACAACCACGCATAGGTCAGACGCTGCCCACCATACCTAAAATACACAATGTAATCTATAATGTCCTACAACTCAGCCAAGGTCAGACGCTGCCCACCATACCTAAAATACACAATGTAATGTATAATGTTCTACAACCCATCCAAGGTCAGATGCTGCCTGCCATACCTAAAATACACAATGTAATGTATAATGTCCTACAACTCAGCCAAGGTCAGACACTGCCCACCATACCTAAAATACACAATGTAATGGATAATGTCCTACAACCCATCCAAGGTCAGATGCTGCCCACTATACCTAAAATACACAATGAAATGTATAATGTCCTACAACTCAGGCAAGGTCAGACGCTACCCACCATACCTAAAATACACAATGTAATGTATAATGTCCTACAACCCATCCAAGGTTAGATGCTGCCCACTATACCTAAAATAGACAATATAATGTATAATGTCCTACAACCCATCCAAGGTCAGATGCTGCCCACCATACCAAAAATAGACAATATAATGTAAAAATGTCCTACAACCCAGCCAAGGTCAGACGCTGCTCACCATACCTAAAATAGACAGTGTAATGTAAAAATGTTATACAACCCAGCCAAGGTCAGACAATGCACACCATACCTAAAATAGACAATATAATGTAAAAATGTCCATCAACCCAGCAAAGGTCAAACAATGCTCACCATACCTAAAATAGACTGTATAATGTAAAAATGTCCTACAACCCAGCAAAGGTCAGACAATGATCACCATACCTACAACAGACAGTGTAATGTAAAAATGTCCTACAACACAGCCAAGGTCAGATGCTGCCCACCATACCTAAAATAGACAGCATAATGTAAAAATGTCCAACAACCCAGCCAAGGTCAGACACTGCCCACCATACCTAAAATAGACAGCATAATGTAAAAATGTCCTACAACCCAGCAAAGGTCAGACACTGCCCACCATACCTAAAATAAATAATGTAATGTAAAAATGTCCTATAACCCAGCCAAGGTCAGACACTGCCCACCATACCTTAAATAGACAATATAATGTAAAAATGTCCTTCAACCCAGTCAAGGTAAAGCGCTGCCCACCATACCTTAAACAGACAGTATAATGTAAAAATGTCCTACAACCACGCATAGGTCAGACGCTGCCCACCATACCTAAAATACACAATGTAATCTATAATGTCCTACAACTCAGCCAAGGTCAGACGCTGCCCACCATACCTAAAATACACAATGTAATGTATAATGTTCTACAACCCATCCAAGGTCAGATGCTGCCTGCCATACCTAAAATACACAATGTAATGTATAATGTCCTACAACTCAGCCAAGGTCAGACACTGCCCACCATACCTAAAATACACAATGTAATGGATAATGTCCTACAACCCATCCAAGGTCAGATGCTGCCCACTATACCTAAAATACACAATGAAATGTATAATGTCCTACAACTCAGGCAAGGTCAGACGCTACCCACCATACCTAATATACACAATGTAATGTATAATGTCCTACAACCCATCCAAGGTTAGATGCTGCCCACTATACCTAAAATAGACAATATAATGTATAATGTCCTACAACCCATCCAAGGTCAGATGCTGCCCACCATACCAAAAATAGACAGTATAATGTAAAAATGTCCTACAACCCAGCCAAGGTCAGATGCTGCCCACCATACCTAAAATAGACAGTGTAATGTAAAATTGTTCAACAACCCATCCAAGGTCAGACGCTGCCCACCATACCTAAAATAAATAATGTAATGTAAAAATGTCCTTTAACCCAGCCAAGGTCAGATGCTGCCCACCATACCTAAAATAGACAATATAATGTAAAAATGTCCTACAACCCAGCCAAGGTCAGACGCTGCCCACCATACTTAAAACAGACAATATAATGTAAAAATGTCCTACAACCCAGCCAAGGTCAGACAATGCACACCATACTTAAAATAGACAATATAATGTAAAAATCTCCTACAACCCATCCAAGGTCAGATGCTGCCCACCATACCTAAAATACATAATGTAATGTAAAAATGTCCTACAACCCAGCCAAGGTCAGACGCTGCCCACCATACCTAAAATAGACAATATAATGAAAAAATGTCCTACAACCCAGTCAAGGTCAGTCGCTGCTCACCATACCTAAAATAGACAATATAATGTAATAAAATGCTCCGCAGGGCGCAGCTTGATACGACCGCAGAGGTCGAACCCTGAACAGTTGGGGGAAGTATGGACACAACATTCAAGCTTGATACAGCTTTGGATTTGGATTGTGATTAAATATTTGACACAGCATAGGTTTCTAACACAGATTGAATGTGGTCTAAGAACTTCAAAATTTTAAATTGGACATTCACCTATTATGGTCCAATATCCAAAATCTAAATACATGGTTAGATTCAGCATATCAAAGAACCCCAAGAATTCAATTTTTGATGAAATCAAACAAAGTTTAATTTTGGACCCTTTTGACCTCAATGTGGACAAAGTTGATAACGGGGCCCAAAAATCAAAAATCTAAATACATGGTTAGATTCAGCATATCAAAGAACCCCATATATTCAATTTTTGTTGAAATCAAACAAAGTTTAATTTTGGACCCCGATTTGGACCAACTTGAAAACTGGGCCCATAATCAAAAATCTAAATACATGTTTAGATTCAGCATATCAAAGAACCCTAAGAATTCAATTTTTGTTAAAATCAAACTAAGTTTAATTTTGGACCCTTTGGACCTTAATGTAGACCAATTTGAAAACGGAACCAAAAATTAAGAATCTAAATACACGGTTAGATTCGGCATATCAAAGAACCCCAATAATTCAATTTTTGATGAAATCAAACAAAGTTTAATTTTGGACCCTTTTGACCTCAATGTGGACAAAGTTGATAACGGGGCCCAAAAATCAAAAATCTAAATACATGGTTAGATTCAGCATATCAAAGAACCCCATATATTCAATTTTTGTTGAAATCAAACAAAGTTTAATTTTGGACCCCGATTTGGACCAACTTGAAAACTGGGCCCATAATCAAAAATCTAAATACATGTTTAGATTCAGCATATCAAAGAACCCTAAGAATTCAATTTTTGTTAAAATCAAACTAAGTTTAATTTTGGACCCTTTGGACCTTAATGTAGACCAATTTGAAAACGGAACCAAAATTTAAGAATCTAAATACACAGTTAGATTCGGCATATCAAAGAACCCCAATAATTCAATTTTTGATGAAATCAAACAAAGTTTAATTTTGGACCCTTTGGACCTCAATGTGGACCAATTTAAAAACGGGGCCCAAAATCCAAAAACTAAATACACGGTTAGATTCAGCATATTAAAGAACCCCATGAAATCAAGAATAAAACGCCATTGAAATTGGTCAAGAAATAAGCAATTTATAGCAAGTATCTTCTTTTGCACAATCCTGTGCTATTAAATATTTCTTGCTATTGCGCAATACTGTACAATTGACAATTTCTTGCTATTGCGCAATATTGTGCTATTGGATATTTCTTGCTATTGCGCAATACTGTGCAATTGAAGATTTCTTGCTATTGCGCAATACTGTGCAATTGAAGATTTCTTGCTATTGTGCAATACTGTGCAATTGAAAATTTCTTGCTATTGCACAATACTTATTATATAATAATTTACACATCCTGTTTGGTGTGTATCTCCTACCATATCATTATTATTTGATTTTAAATATAAACCAGAAATAACCAACTTAAAATGGAAAATTTTAAAAGAAACAAAAAATGGAAAAAAGAAAAAAAATGAAAAAAAAATAAATCCCCCCCCAAAATTTTTTGAACCCCCATTATGATTCATCACCCCCAAACTCAATCCCAGCCTTCCCTTTGTGGTATGGTACCTTGCAGTACAATTTCAGAGAGATCCATACACTTGAACACAAGTTATTGTCTGGAAACTAGAAAAAAATGTGTTTTTTGGCCCCTTTTTGGCCCCAAATTCCTAAACGTTTAGGGCAATTACCCCCAAACTCAAACCCAGCTTTCCCTTTGTGATATGGAACCTTGTAGTACAATTTCAGAAAGATCCATACACTTTCACACAAGTTATTGTCATGAAACTAGAAAAATGCTTGTTTTTTGCCCCTTTTTTGGCCCCTAATTCCTAAAATTTGGAGGCAATTACCCCCAAAATCAATCCCAGCATTCCTTTAGTGATATGGAACCTTGTGGTACAATGTCAGAGAGATCCATACACTAACACACAAGTTATGTCTGGAAGTTACAAAAATGCTTATTTTTGGCCCCTTTTTGGCCCCTAATTCCTTTACTGTTATTACCATAACCCCCAAAATCAATCCCAACCTTCCTTTTGTGGTATTGAACCTTGTGGTAAAATTTCATAAAGATCCATTCACTTAAACTAAAGTTAGAGTGCGAAAACCAATGTGTCTTCGGACGATGCCGGACGACGCCGACGACGACGCCAACGTCATACCAATATACGACCACAAAAATTTTTTTGCGGTCGTATAAAAATGTTATACAACCTAGCCAAGGTCAGATGCTGCACACCATACACAAAATAGACAGTGTAATGTAAAAATAGAACAAAAAACAAAATACTTGCAGAAGGTGCATAATGCTATTAGAAGGAAAGATTCCTTAAAAGTTTCATTGAATTCCAATTTCTAGTATATAAAGTAGAAGTTGCAAATGAACAAAGGAACAAAGGAACAATAGAAACATCATTCCACATTCAGCGCATGGCGGTATAATTAAAGGAAACAGGGGGTTTGGGATCAGAAATCAATAGTAATAGAACACTGATAACAACATTGAAAATTATAAAAAAAAAGATGAAAAGAAAAACAATAGACCACAAAACACCACACAGGAAACTCAAGTCTGAACAATACCATCCCCAATAAAACTGGATGTTATGTTAAAATGTTAAAGTAGTATCCTGTAAAGATGTCCACAACCAGCCAAGTTTAGAGACTGCACACTATCACTATTTAAGACCTAACGCCTCTTTTCTACATGTTTTCTTGAATGTAAGACAATAACTGATGTATATAGATATCTAAGGTAATTTCTAACAAGGAATATCATTGACAACACAAAATTAGGTTCTTACATCTTTTGGTTTAAGTCCATATATATTCCACATTGACCACTTCAGTACCACTGCATGTCCACCACTGGGTCTTACTACAGCCTAAAAATCAAATAAAAGTATAAAACTTAAATTGATTTGTAAAAATATGTCTTACCTGCAATGGTGAAAAAACACATGTTTAATTAAAACAAGAGTTTGCTGGACCATTCTTGAACGTAATGGAAATTTAAAACAATTTTAAATATTTTTGCCATGAAACCAAAACCTGTTGTTTCTGATGTATATGTATACAGTAAGGATCAGTAGCCAGGACAGGTATAGTCAGCACATGACACCTACCTAAGTATCAATAGCCAGGACAGGTAGTCAGCACATGACACCTACCTAAGGATCAATAGCCAGGACAGGGATAGTCAGCACATGACACCTACCTTAGGATCAATAACCAGGACAGGGATACAGTTAGCAAATGACATCTACCCTAGGATCAGTAGTCAGGGCAGGGATACAGTCAGCACATGACACCTACCTTAGGTAAACCTGTTGTTCCTGATGTATACAGAATATAAATAGGATCAGTGGCCAGGACAGGGACACAGTCAACAGGTGAAGCTTCTAACATTTCTAACTCCCAATCAACATCCATCTTATGGTTCAGTGCAGCTATTTGAAACTACAAAGTACATGGTTTTGTAGAAATAGGTTTGAATTCAATGAAATTTGTCTTTCTTTTAATCACAACTTGTTCACAGATACATATATGAATACATGGCAATCCTTTTCTAAATATTATGTAAATAATGTCAAAATTGATTTTTTAGTTCAAGTTGTTAATTGAACATTTTTTTTCATATACAATTGTACATGTACTGTGGATTGATTTATTAAGGTGGATACCATTTTTCGTGGATTGAGGGAAAACTGTAGTTTTCTGGATATTTGATATCATGGTTTCACTGAAATTTGCACACACACCTACAGTAAATTTGTACTTTGTTGAAGTTTTAAATTTGTCATTTTGTCAAAATTTGCATACAAAGCTATGGTTAAATTTGTACTTGGCAAAAGATTTAAATTCATGGTTTACCTATACCCACGCACAGCCTAATAAATTGCTTTGCCGGCGCAGCTGGATACAACCGCAGAGGTCCAACCCTGAACAGTTGGGGCAAAAATGGACACAATATTCGCGCTTGATACAGGTCTGAATTTGGATTGTAATTAAATATTTGACACATAATAGGTTTCTGACACAGAATAACTGTAGTCAAAGAACTTAGAATTGGTTATATGATTTGAATTTATATTCAATTTTTTTTGCTTTTGTGCAATACACTGTGCCTGTGCGTATTGAACCCCCACCCCACCCTTTTTTTGCAAACAAAAAAAATATGTGAAGAAATCCTAAACGGTTTGAGCCATAACCCCCCAAAGCCAATCCTAACCATCCCTTTGTGGTATGGAAACTTGTGGTATAATTTCAGAGAGATCCATACACTTAAACACAAGTTATTGTCTGGAAACTAGAAAAATGCCTTTTTGGGCCTCTTTTTGGCCCCTAATTCCTAAACTGTTAGAACCATAGCCCCCAAAATCAATCCCAACCTTCCTTTTGTGGTATTGAACCTTATGATAAAATTTCACAGAAATCTACACTTAAACTAAAGTTATTGTGCGAAAACCAATGTGTCTTCGGACGACGTCATACCAATATACGACCGAAAATTTTTTTTGCGGTCGTTTAAAAATTGATATCCCATGAATAATAATGAAACCACAGTATATAACATAATTGCCCATTATAAAAGGTGGTAAGTAAAAATATTTCTAGTGTTCACCAGACAAATCTTACAATAATTTCATATAGATTAATACTTAAAGTCTAAAACACCAATTTTGTACTATTTTACTGAATTGTTATATAGTTATAGAAATTGTATTGTTGTTTAGTATTCCTTTTCAGTAGCTTTCTTACTTTTTTACTGAATAATTTTTATAAATCTCAAAATATTTTTATACCTGCATTGCATTGCCCAATAAAAGTTAAACAACAAATTGTACATGTACTTAAAATTTGTAATATTTTCTAGTACACCAAAATTATGGTACCAAATTAGTACAATAATTTAGAAGTACTTTATCAGTACTATATTATTATATAAATGTAGAGTAATTTAAAATGTTTGTACATTGTACTAAAATTGTACCAATGCTAAAGTATCTGTCTGTCACCCGTTTATATAACATGATATGTTGTTATAACTACCACAGGACTTTTATAATCAAAGTGCTGGATAGCACCTGTGGAAAGTTTGCAACGGTAGATGTGTAATATTTCAAATAGGTTGTAAATGTGTAGATTGGGTGTTTAACTTTTTTTCCGACTTTAAAAAAAAATTACTTAATACAAGAAATAATTGTAACATGATGCTGTTACGAAGTCTCCAAAACAAAGCTCCCATAATTAGTCATTCCCAGGAAGGGGGTGGGAGTGACCCCAGGGGATTCGCCTTTTATTTCATTTGATTTGTTTTATTGTCCCATACAAGAATATATATGGTTTCGGGGTGGGGATCTTGACCTTTTAAAAGTTCTCAAAACAGGATGGGGTGGGGGTGACACCCAGGGACTCCCCCTATATTTCATTTGATTTGTTTTATTGTCCCATACAGAATATATATGGTTTAGGGGATGGGATCTCGACTGTTTACAAGTTGTCAAAAAGAAGGGGGGGTAGGGTGACCCCTGTGGACTTCCTCTATATTTCATTTAATTTGTTTTATTGTCCCATACAAGAATATATATGGTTTATGGGTGGTGATCTCGACCATTTACAAGTTCTTAAACAGGAAGGGGGTGGGAGTGACCCAAGGGGACTCACCTTTTATTTCATTTGATTTGTTTTATTGTCCCGTACAAGAATATATATGGTTTCAGGGTGGGGATCTTGACCGTTTACAAGTTCTCAAAACAGGATGGGGTGGGGGTGACACCCAGGGACTCCCCCTATATTTCGTTTGACTTGTTTTATTGTCCCATACAAGAATATATATGTTTTAGGGGTGGGGATCTAAACCCTTTACAAGTTCTCAAACAGGAGGGGATGGGGCTGATCCAGAGGGAGTCCCGCTATATTTCATTTGATTTGTTTTATGATCCTGTGATCATTACTGAAAACCGCATGTGTCTATCACTTACTGTTTTCAAGTTATAGTCATTTGAAAATTTAAAAAAAATAAATCCCATAGGGTTCTATAGGAAATCCCTCCCTTCTGTTGGCCCCTCAAAATACCCCTAAATAGACCTCAAGAAGAAAAATAATAAGAACTGAGCAAAACAATAAGTCTCCAAACTTTGTTTGGAAGACTTAATAGCAAGTAGTATAATTACGAATTTTGTTATAGTCCGATTTTCTGATGCCAATTATGTAATAGGCCGAGTTTATTATAGTCCGAGTTTGTTGCGGGCCGAGATGAAATACCGGGATACTTTCGATACACTCTGGCTTTTAAGTCTTTAATAAACATTGTAAAAATCGTAGTAAGTGTCGAAAAATGTTCATTCATGAAATATTTTGAACATGGTATTTATTTTCTCTTCAACAGGAGGACGGGAGGAAACCCCTGAAACCGGGATTATAGTACTCCTGTTGATATGGATCTCACGCATGTCTGGGGAATACCGATAAAAGCATAACGTAGAAACTGCTGTCTCATGTAGATGTGTATTGATTTTACTTTCCGCACAGTGCAGATCCGCGAAGTAGTGTTTGTGATAGCCATTTTCAAAATGAAGTTGAATTATTTGATTTATCGATGAACATTCAGTACATTTTAATTCAAACTGTAAGCTAAACAAAATAGAAGTAACTCAAAATTTCAAAAGCATCTTCCTAGAATTAGTTGTCAAACACCAGTACTACATTATCTAAGAGTAAAACACACATCCTAATGTAAGATAGTCTGTCACTTCCGGTTTGAGGCCGATGCCTTAGGAAAGTTTTTGCTATAGCAAGCTATAGCAAACTTTCCAAAAACAATACATTTTCCAGGTAAGATGATAATGGATAGATGGTTGGTTGATGTACAGCTGCTTGCTTTATACTTAGCCAGCACAAGGTGTCAGAGTTTTTTAAAGTGCTGATCAACAACCTATCAGTCCACAGGGAGACATGTCACAAGGACACACAATCCTGACATATTCATATTCAAAATGCTAAGCAAAGAAGTAACAAGTTACAAATTTGAAAGTCTCATTTTTACCAGGAGACCACAAAGTTAGTTTATTAGGTCAATCGTTGTGCTTCATCTAACTCTGGTAAATATCACATGCTGTAGTGTTGTACATACCCCAGGTCTGTTATAAATGATACATTTATTAGGTTTGAAGTCAATCAGTGAAAGTGCTCCATCTAACATTGGTTTATAAGGCACAGGTTTTCCTGGTTCTACCCCACAGCTAGCACTTACTACAACTTTTGGCTGAAAAACATGAAATCATAATAATATTAAATTCTTATCATATGCTTTTTTAAAGTCAGTTTTCAAATATTGTGAAAGAAAGGATGATGTTGCTTAACTTGTGTTTATAAAGGTCCAGTGTTAAATATAACAGGCATATTAGGAATAGAACATGTTGATGTGAATATAAACCCTGTTGTATACTGTACACACACTGAGCCAGATATTTGACATGCTAGTTCATAAGATAACAGTCTGCAGGAAGTCATCATCCTAGATACATTATAGATATACAAAGTGTTCTACAACTGCTCTGGAGGAAGTCATCATCCTAGATACATTATAGATATACAAAGTGGTCTACAACTGCTCTGGAGGAAGTCACCATCCTAGATACATTATAGATATACAAAGTGGTCTACAACTGCTCTGGAGGAAGTCATCATCCTAGATACATTATAGATATACAAAGGGGTCTACAACTGCTCTGGAGGAAGTCATCATCCTAGATACATTATAGATATACAAAGTGGTCTACAACTCCTCTGGAGGAAGTCATCATCCTAGATACATTATAGATATACAAAGTGGTCTACAACTGCTCTGGAGGAAGTCATCATCCTAGATACATTATAGATATACAAAGGGGTCTACAACTGCTCTGGAAGTTTAAGGAAAGTATTTTCTGCAATATCCCAAACAATTATAGAAGATCCACAAATTTTACATTCACAGCAAAATCCCTTACATTATCATGATTATATCAAACCAATATTTATTTAGATACTTTCACCTTTATTTTCACTTTATTAAACACAACTGATATATTGAAACTATCTATATGATTTAAGCCTCAGATATAAAAAGGATTAATATATATGATTTTGAAATTTATTTATATGAGCCACTCCATTCGAAAAAGGTACAAAAAGTGTTTTTGATAAACTTTACAGGACAAGTTTTAAAGTTGGTTAAAATATTTTTGAAAAACGATTTTATTCGTGATAAATGACGATAACTCAAAAAGGAGAAATACTTAAATCGTGAAAATTGAAATTGACCTTCATTTAGTCACAAGAAACAACATATCTAAATTTGAAAAACAATCATCACAGCTTTTTCATGTTATTGAAGAGACACTGTTTGGCACCGCCCATCCGCCCGCCCACCATACATCCCCAAATCAATAACCGATATTTCCTTCAAAAACCCGGTTAAAAATGGTATTAATGTAAACATTCATAAAGTAGTCAATTCTGTCACGAATTTGTCAGTTAAACCGATAAAAGACGTAGAAATATCTGAATTTTAGTACTTTGGCAAGCGTAAAAATCATTTGTTTCCCGGAACAATGCTATACTGAGGTGAAACACTATAGAGAGACAAAGTCAACAGTTTTCATCATATCTACCTGTAAGAAAGGAACACAACAGTTAAATGTACGGGAAAATGCAAAAATGATGTCATCTTGTGTTTTTGAAATTGAAATTTAAGTTAAATTATTTAAAATTATGTAAATCAACCGTCCTTGGACGGGATCCGAACCGTTGCCCCTATTAGATTGCACTGATTTCTGCTTTGCAAGCAAAAGCCTTACCCACTGCTACCCCAGTGAACATAATCAAGCGGCAGTTAAGATGCTTAAACTGTACATGGAAAAATGAACAAAATGTTTGGTTTTTGTATCTTTTTGCATGGACCGATTCATATGATATTACGTACATAAATGAAAGTGCATCATAATCCTCTGGTTGGTATTGATATACATGCTTATTGACTACATAAGTATGATTAAAATAATATATTGTATTTCATGTACATGTACCAAGTTGTACTTTATAAAATAAAAATACCTATCTATTTCGACTCCTGAGTCCACAAGTCTTAGCTCTTACTCCTAAATGTTGCAAGCTTTTCAGAAAAGTAGCAAATCCTTATTTCCAAGTCTTTAGATTATTCCAGTCATGAATCCAACCTCAACTCTAAGGATGATCACAAAAACAGGACCACAGAGGTGGTTCAAAAGAAGAGATATGGTGTTTCAACTCATGACACAAAATCACTGAAATTTTAAGACGGCCTTGAAATGTTTTTATGGAATTCATTGCTTGATAAAAAAGTAGCTTTCTGTAAACATTGTAACACCACTGGTATTTATTTAAAATGAAAGACAAAAGATCAAATAAGTAAATAGATAAACAAATAAACCAGGATACTAGGGTTCTCCAGTGACGATCTTGCTAGAAAACTAAAATCGCACAGACCTAAATTGAGTAAGGTCAGATAAATGAACATCATAAGAATATACAAGAACTTCCTTGCAAAGTGAAGAAATGTATACTTTTCATTCAGAAGTATATAAAGCAGGAACAAAGTTCATGAAAACTATATTGACTAACCTTTGCATGATCAATTCGAGTACCAAGTTCTTTTGACTAACCTTTGCATGATCAATTGGAGTACCAAGTTCTTTTGACTAACCTTTGCATGATCAATTGGAGTACCAAGTTCTTTTGACTAACCTTTGCATGATCAATTCGAGTACCAAGGACTTTTGACTAACCTTTGCATGATCAATTCGAGTACCAAGTTCTTTTGACTAACCTTTGCATGATCAATTCGAGTACCAAGTTCTTTTGACTAACCTTTGCATGATCAATTCGAGTATCAAGTTCTTTTGACTAACCTTTGCATGATCAATTCGAGTATCAAGTTCTTTTGACTAACCTTTGCATGATCAATTCGAGTACCAAGTTCTTTTGACTAACCTTCGCATGATCAATTCGAGTACCAAGTTCTTTTGCAGCAAATCCACCAAAAACAAGTGAGTGTATAGCTCCTATTCTAGCTGATGCTAACATAGAGATGACTGCCTGGGGTATCATTGGCATATATATAAGTACCCTATCTCCTTTCTCAACACCGTACTTCCTCAATACACAGGCAAATTTACTGACCTGAAATTTATTACTATAAAGTCAGAGATTCTAGCAACGATTGACTTCTTATTTTTCATATACTAACCAACAAAAAGAAAAGATACAACATGGAAAATGTTTCATTCATTAAATACATTAAGGATTTTCTAACACAAAGTAAGTTTTTTGGTGAAAGAAAACAATGTCAATTTTTGAAGACTATGTTTCCCTCTGTTTTGTTTTTTGAGACATTGAACTGCTGTAAAATTAATAGCCACCCTACATCTCATTTCGTTCATATGATAAATGGTTCAATTAGATTTTGAACCAACTGTGGTTTACTTTCCAACAACTGAAAAATCAATTATCCTGAAGGACCATTATGAGATATAATTTGATAAATTTAAGTGGATCCCTCTTTTGTCACCTAGTACTGTGGTCTGTGTATTCATTTACTTTTGAAGGTACCAAATTTGTGGAATAATTGTATTTGTGAGGATGCTTGATTACAGGGTTGGGTAATAAGTTTGTTATAATCATAGCAACATATCGAAAATAAATCATTACTTTTTTCTTTTTTTCTCCTGTATACAGTATCAGTGTGCAAAACACAGGTTTTGCATGTACACCAGAAATAGGGGAACATTGAAACATTGAAGAATATGTATTTCAATATATGTATAACTCTTTAATACATATGTTTAGAAAAGACAAGGTTCACTTCAGCATGTTTAGGCCAAATATGACATTCAATTTCAACTTTATCATAAAATGTCAAAACGGCCATAATTTGGTTCTTGAATGGACCTTTTTTAAAAGCCTTACTACTAGTTGAAACAAATCTCTTCATAAAAATAGATTCTAGGCTTCAAAGTCAGCTCATTTTGGATATATTGTCAAAAATACAATAATTTTGTGCATTTTTCACACCTAAAAGCTTGAGGAAACCCTTGGCTACAACCTACAATAAAAAATATTCTGTAACCAAAAAATATGATATTGAATCCCTATACAGGATCAGTAGTGGCATCCAAAGTTCATTATGCTAAAAACTCTTAAGTATTGAAAATTTTGACTAAAACTGACATTACAACACAAATAATGCATATAATTAAGTGGTCATTACTTTGTAATTTATAATGTGATGTGCCAGAAAGAAGTTATTTTGTATTAATAATAATATCACAACTTTTTCTATGTCAAATTTGTAGAATTTTGACTTGATAAAAAAAAAAATAATCATAGAGCCAATTTACCATTCATGAACTTACTACATTTGCATTCTGTATTTAATTGAAAGTAGATGTCCTCTTATGGTCAATTTTCAGAGTGAAAAGAGAACACATATCGATGTTATTTAAAACGTTGTTGAAGCATTCAAGCTGTACTGATAGCAACCAACATACACCTTTATAAAGACCTCATTAATATATCATTACCACATTAACCATTAACCCACAATAACATTGTTCAGGTAAAACTGACTTGGCACACACTGTCCATTTATTTAAACAATGTGTGTTTCTAGCTTCATAGAAAATGATGGTAAACTCAATCAGCTAACAAACTCATACCTCATCAAGAAGTTCCTTGTAAGTAATATGTTGTACTTGTTTAGTTATTGGACTGTCATATATAATGGCCATTTGTTCTCCATTACCAGCTTCAACATGGCGATCCACAGCATTGTAACATGTATTCAGTTCTCCACCGACAAACCTTAAAGTACAAAACAGAAATAAAACTTTAACTGCGAAGAAATTGAGGGTGGGAATATTTTTTCTCATTTGATTACTTTATTTTTGAACTGTCAAACATGGTTTTTATCTTAAGATACCTCAAAATTTTAATTTCAATATGTCATGTATGTAGAGAAATACTAAATAATTAACATGATTAAAAAAAAAGTAAGTAATTACAAAGGGATTTTTTCATTTCAACTAAATTTTAAGAAGCCAAAATTTGAATGCAATATCTTATAACAATCACATCATCCCTCAACAGTATCATTTTCTTTAGAAGTACATGTATATAAACTTAAATTCCAAAGTTACAATTAAACATCTACCATGTCTACTGCAAGTTTGGTGCATGCTGTATAATTTTCTGAAACATAAAATGCATTCAAACTTTATCTTTCTAGTTCTTGTGATGCCTTAAACTTTTCCAGGTAAACATGTATGTTTCTAAATTTTGTAATGTAAACATGGGTGATGGCAATATTTTTTTAATTCCTTCTGATGAAACCTTAACCCTTTAACTGCTACATTTTTAGAATGAACATTAGAGCGTGTACAGTATTTTTCATTTAATTATTTTGTGTAAAGAATTTTGGTAAACATCTTCGAACTTCATTTTCTAACGTCATTATGACCTTATCATTATTGGTTTAAATTAAGGAATACTACAAATTATATTTGTTGTACAAGCACTCCAGTTTGGTAACTATTCTTTAGTTTGTTTGGAAAACTCTCTTTGTCATACTCTATTGAGGAGACTGGGCCTTTTTTACTAATATTAGTATAAAAGTCCAAGGTAGAGGAGGGACACAGTGCGGTCAGCCAGACCAAAGGGTTAAATAGTTAAAGTCAATGTTCAAATCTATATATAAGATAAGCTATACATCAGTTCTTGAGGTCATTACTTTAATAATTACCATCTACTAAAAGGTGGGTTTGAGTTGTCGAGTACTTTGTCCCATTTTTTATGCCAAACTATTTGTTCTGCCTGCTCGGCCCAAAAATCCTCTGAGGAATTGATAGAGCGTGAAAAATTGTCATCGTATGCATTAGATGCGAAGAACCGATGATGCAAACTGCAGGTGCATGGAATTTTGTGTAATCTGTAACCAATTCTGTAATTGCTTGAGCGTGACAGTTGTTTTATAGATGGGAAAATGTGTTTTGAAAAGTTCATGTTGTTTACAATTTCAGTTCAAAACAACCGGAAGTTCTTATTCTAAATAGACATCGATCCCGGTAGCTGTCAGATTTTATGTATTTTTAGGTTATTACAAGTAATAGCTTTTCTTAAAAAGCTAGGCTAGCCGTCTCTTAGCTGATGAAAGTGAAAAGTGTTCTCGCTTTGTAGATTAATTCACTCAGAATAGCCTTGCATATAAATCAGCAAATTTTACCAAACACGTTATGAAGCAGTATACCGTTCAATGTTGGATGTCAAATTAGGTCCTTTAATTTCGTACTAATCCTTCAAAGCTTAACATACTGGATTGACATAATCTTTTGTGAGAGACCGTTCTTTTAAAATGCCAACAGTATTTCCGTATTTGAAATTTATTATTTTCTTTTATTTCTCTTTCTCTCATATAGCGTATATATATAGTGCCAATAAACCTCAACTTGAAACAACTATTCAATTCAATTCTTTATTAACCAACTGTTTTACAACATAAAGGTACATGTATAATTAATATATATACTAAATATAGATTACAAAAATATACGATCATGACAAAACAAACAGAAGTATTAAATACACATAAAAATAAATACCTATAAAGACTACTAGAAGTTTGTTCTTGACCCTCCTCATTGTTTTAAGTAATATTCATTGTTTGCTATTAAGATATTTTTTTTACATGTATTCACAACTATTCTAGATATCATAGCTAGACTTGGGAAGATTAAAAATTTAAAATATTGTAATGACATGTCCATTGTAGAAGACCGTAAGTTGAATTTTAGAAGTAAATTGTTTTGTTTGTTGTTTAATTGGGTTGCTGTCTAAACTAATTATGCATACTTCATATCTCCTTTAAAATCATTCATAGAAATTAAGCATTGTTGAAATATGATAGCATACATGTATAATTGCTTTCATCGTCTGAGAGTAGTTTTATATTCTTCTTATATATATATATATATATATTTCCCTTTCGATTTTTTTAGTCTTCTGTTCTTCATCGTCTGCTATTTTGATAGGGAGAGCTAAAAAACGTTCAACCCAGCCCAAACCCTACCCCAAAAATCGGGGGGGGGGGGGGGGGGGCACTTATCATACTTATCATTTGTAGTGAGGGGTAGGGATGAGCCACTAGAATAGGCCTATTTTAAGCTTCATGATATTTGATGAGTAGATATAAGAAGATGTGGTATGAGTGCCAATGAGACAACTCTCCATCCAAGTCAAAATTTATAAAAGTAAACCATTATAGAGGTCTAGAAATTTAGGTGATATTTAAGTCAAGGTTTAAAGATTGAATCTGAAACTAACCAGATGTAGATACTTTTTTCAAATGCAATTAATATCACTTTCGTAAATGCTTTATATATTTGTCAATCAATGTATCCCCTATGATGTAGTAGCGTAACCATGCATCATAGCTATGTGTAGACATACTAATTGTAAAAAAAATATTTGATCTCTAGGGTATTTTCCTTTTACCAGACGAGACATATATGTGCTTTTACCATAAAAAGGTCGCACCCCCCTTTCCGAGATAAAAAATCCCGTTTAAATTAATATTTAATCGAACATATCTCCCTTTTAGTCATTTCTTGATTATTGCTTTTGGATTATCTTACTAAGTATAAATATTTATAATCTAGGCTAAGATTAAAGCACGATGTTTTCATAAGTATGCTTTTGTGTACAAGATTTTCGTAACAGTGAGCGACTGGATAGAACGTTAAATAATCACATGTGTGTTTACAATATTTCAGGAGTTTCGGCTATTTATAGATAAGTGTTACCTGTGTACCGATTTGCATGATTGGTAACCAGGCAAAATCTAATTGCTAAAATAGACAGTTCAATTCCGACACTTTACGGGATCAAAAGACATTTACTAGGTTTCGAATTGTCCCAACCAATCAACACAAGTTAGCTATGATAGAGCTGGGAACAGTATATATGTTCCTGGATAGAGTCAGCAATATCTTCCAATCAGATAGTAAGAAGCATTCAGCCCGCAGACTATCCATCGTTCAACTCTTAATAGCGTCTCCTCGGAGACGTTAATGAATTTTTTTCCTTGCATGGATTCATTGATTCTATACCAGACTTTCAATATGTATGTTGAATAATTGTATTTTTAAAAATAACAAAGATGGCAATAAAAATCCACACATTAAAGAATGACACTAGTCCCAGACCATATCATTGACCATCAACCTCTTCATTTGTCGAAATAAGACTAATATACAAATATGAAGATGTGGCAAGGTGTCAAATGAGACAACATTTCACCAGAGACAAAATGATGTAGTGGCAACTAACGGTCGCCGTACGGCATTGAACAATGAGCAGAACCCACACCGTATAGCAAGCTCATGATAAAAGGCCCTGACATGACAAATGTGAAACAATTCAAACGAGAAAACTAACGGCCTTATTTATGTACAAAACAATAAACGAAAAACAAATATGATATACAGTAAAAATTGACAACCACAGAACTACACGTTCCTGACTTAGGACAGGTAGCATATACAGAATGTTGCGGGGTTGAGCATGTTCGCGATCGCCCAACCCTCCCCAAACCTGGGATAGTGGTGTAAAGCACAATACGAACAAACTATAAAAATTAGTTGAAAAAGACTTGACTCACCAGATCGAGACAAAGAGTGATATATGCATGTATGGTTTTCTTGTGTGTCTTCCATTTTGCACATCGATATGTTTTACTTGTATCTATTCTAGTTGTCTTTAAGCAGATAAAATATTCTTAAACTAAACTTGTGTTTTTGTTATATAATGTACTGTCATTATAGAGCTAGGTTTCCCGTACTGATTTTTATTTTATGTATGAATAAAAGGATGTGTTGGATGTCTGTGATTCCATCGATCGCGATTTAATTGGGAGGTTTTGATATTTTCAAAACAAAACCAATTGAGGCACGCCACATGTTCATGTCCCTGTCCCAGGTCAGGAACCTCTTCAGTGGTCGTACTTTGTCACTCGACTTGTTATCAATTTTTATCATATGGAGATTTTAGTGATGATGGTATATTTTGTTCATAGTCTCTGTTATATTTATTCATAGCATTGAAGACTCGTGGATAATTATATAGCATAGAAACAAGTCTACTGTCGAGGACTCTATGTTGGCCTCTGGACTCAGAGCGAAAGTATGAAAGGAACTACCGTAAAAATAGTTCTGAAAATTTGAAAATAACTCTATTATTGTAAAAGTTAGAAAACTAAATTTTTATTCGATATTTAAAAACAAATATCAAAACATAAGCTTTTACTATCTTATAATGCAAATACTTATAAAACAATGCATGCACATGCAATAAAAGTAGACAGTCAAACGTCCATATCAGCAAATATACACTACATTTATTTGAAAAGTACATGTATCATCAAGTCATAGATATGACAGTCACCAATCATTCCAATAAAGATCGTTTTAAGATACTTTTCCTGGTATTGGTCAGTATATATTGACTTTTTAAATATCAAATTGTCTTTTTGTTTTTAATTTTTACTACTTTGTCATTACCAATTTTGACGCATAAATATACGGTAGTATTAAACATTAAGCAAACATATTCAAATAAGCCTACAAGAAAGATTTGAAGAACAATTCATTAACTTGTTAAGAGCCGTCTTTCAGAATATAAAAACCCGTACAAAAATATACATGATTTTAAACATTGCAATATAAAACATAAAATTGAGAATGGAAATGGGGAATATGTCAACATATATTTGTTCCACCTAACAGAGGTTCCCCTGGAAACTTTGTTATAAACCAGGCCATAATATCTGTTCCGTCAGGAACAAATTCTGTAATATTTATTCAAGTGGAATAAATATTACAGAATATGTCTTCTATTTGGAACTAATAGTATAAAGGAACTTATATTTCACGACAAAACCATTACCCAACGTATTTGAGGAATGCGCTTTGCACATGTATAGCAGTGTATATAAAAATATACAAGATAATAAACATTAAAGAAACATAAAACAGATACTTGTAGAAATAAACCTATCATAAAAAATGTAAAAGCATTGAGCATACATGATTTCAGATCTATTCAAATATTTTAACAAAGTAAAACAAGTATAATTATTATTTTAACAGTTCATTGAATCAAACAATGAAAAAATAAAAACGCAAGAGTAATCAAATTTAGTAACTTCACACAAAATAAATGAGATTTCGAGACCTTCAAGGGCTGCACGGGGAAGATCTTAAGGCCATTGAATTTAGAACAAAAATAGCACCGAAGACTGTTCCATAGTTAGAGTTATGGCTGAAAAAGTAGCATAACTTTTTTTACCGTACCGTGTTGTTCTGAGTGTGGAATTTAAAGAATATTGCTGTACCTCAAAGAATAATTGTCCTTTTCATACTGACATAATCAGAAAAACGAACAGAGATTAATTATTTTCTAATCTTAAGCTGATAAGGAACACCACAAGGCTCACGTTATACTGGCCGACAATTTAGATAATAATAATATTCATAACTAACGGATTCATGACTAATTTGGTCTAGGTTGCAGTGTGTTCCTTACCCAAATTGGTCAAGTTTATCATTACAACTTATTATATTTTATTTTTTTTCTACATTCAATTTGTGTTAAACCTTATTTTATAACAATCGTACTAATCATAAATAACCAATTATTTTGTTATTTCATTTAGTTCAAATATTATATTGTATTGTATATTGTTTTGTAAATACGATGATTATTCTGCTCAGTAATGGGCGCCGTGATTGGCACAATAAAATATCTTGTATCTTGTATCTTGCAACGTAAATTACACTAGAAGCATAATAAAAAAAAAGAGGCGACATTCCAATCTCATAAGTCGAAGAGAAACTGAAAACGCCATGGCAAATAACAAAAGGCGACGATAAGATATTCAAAGTCACAACACTACTAGTATATAGAAAACTAAAGACTGACCTACACAGTCCCCACCATGATCTCAGATGCTCCGGAATGTTAAGCAGATCCTGCTCCACTAGT